AAATTCCCCACGTGCAGCACATGGGTGCTGAGAGGACATGTGCCAGACACTATCATGGCTGTCCATCCCTTAAATTAAATTTGCACAGGAGCTGAGCAAGCAGCTCCCACAAGCAACCTCACAATTTCCTGAAATCACTTTGGGAGGGGAGGTGCTAACATTTGCAGAAGGGGGCAGGGAAGGCATAATTCTTCCCCCATAGAATCTGCTTTATTTTTTTAAGACATTGCACAGCCTGGCATCCTGAGTGTCCTTCCTGGAAGTAGTTGGGGAAGAAAGACGATTGGCAGCAGAACCCAGAACTCCATTCCAGCCACAGCTGCTGTGCCATGAAGCTGAACCAGCCATGCAGTTTTGGTTTTTGTTTTAAATAGTGGGGAGCCAGTGTGGTGTAGTCAGAATGTGGGACTGGAGCTCAGGAGATCCCGATTCTAGTCCCCAATGAGCTGTGAAGGCCACTGGGTAATTTCAGCCATGGATTGGTGCTCAACCTAACCTACCTCACAGGATTGTTGTGAAGAGGGGAGGGGTCCTGTTTATGATGCCTTGGAGTCCTTGCAAGAGGGAAAGGGGTGATATAGAAATGCAATCATGCATGAAAATAACAGTTCCAGGGAAAAGGAGTTAAAAGGAAAGATGGCAAGAAGTCCCCTTCCAATAACACAGAGCTGTTAACTGCCTCCCCTCCCTCTGAAGCACATTTGGAAGCTTAGGTTCACACGTCACAAATAACAAAGAATCCTGGGGTGTTTCAAAGAGCAACTCTTTTATTATGCCATAAGCTTGCATGACCTAAGACTCATCTCTGTGGACGCCGAAAAAGCTTGTGACATGATAAATATGGCGGTCTCTGCAGCTTTTCTTTTGTTGCAACCGGCTGCAGCAGCAGGCCTCGGAAGTGTGATGTGCAAACTGACCTTGAGTCCTGTGTGGAAGGGCTCTGAAAATTGATTTTCCTGCAAGCACATCTCCCTCTCTCTCCCATTCCCTTTTGTTCCCTTCCTGCCTCTCGTACACACTGCCCGGTTGGTACTAAATTAGCAAATGAGATCTGACATCTCAGTCCCTACTTACAAGAAGCAGAAAAAAGGGTTTCCAAATGGAACAGTTTCCAACTGTTGCTAGAGAACAGGAGGAGGAGATGTGGTTTCGCTTCCAAGTGCTACTGCACCATTTCACCAGAAGATGGCTCATGAGTGTCACAAATAAATTCAGCAAAGGAAAAGGCAGGGTAGGTTCTACCTCAATTGACCTTTCCCCTGGGTTCCTCGTTCACTCTCACGGGTGCTTTATGCTCCGCCGTGATTATAATTTCATGGATCTCTTCAACTCTACACATACTCATGCTTGTAGGAATACAAAAGTTTGTCTGAAGGATACTGAAGCTTCTTGAAACATGCTTTTGTCATGAAAAATCTCTTTTGGAAAAAAATACGTATCTTTTCCAAAAATAGAACCCACCATTGACACCAGGCTGGGGAGCTTCAGATTGAAATTTGTTCACTCTTGCTAAATAGCTTCATGTTTAAGGTAGCTGGTGAGATATACTAGGGAGTGTTGAACTCAAAATAAATTTCAGTACAATACCTAATTCAGGAATAAGCAACCTGAAGCACAGGGACAAGGATGCATTTAAATTTGCATCAACCAAACCAATTCACCAGGCAAAACGGAGTTGTTCTTCATAAGTCATGTTTCTTTGAATTTTGCAGTGGGGTCCTCCAGTCAAAGAACAGACGCACATTATGCAAATTAGTGAAAAGAATGTTTCTAATGTATTATATTAGAAAGTTGCTCACAAAGTTGTGTCTAGTAGGCAAACTTGTGTACAAAAATGCATATATGTATGCAGACAAACCCCTCCAAGTCTGGGATAAATGGAATTTATGGTTGGAGAAAAGAAAATGAAGGCAAACAAAGGGGCTTATTCAATTTCTACATATTGGATTAGAGATCCCATAATCCCTGAGCCTTGGGAATGCTGGTGTGTGTGCTTTGGTCCAAATTCTTTGAACATTCAGGTCCAAAATATTTGGATCCTAAATTTCTCCAACAGATAAACATGTTTAGGGGCAATCCTGTACATATTTTAGGCCATTTTTTCTTTCTAAATTTGCAAAGGAGTGTGCTTTTCATTATTCAATACACAATATATTTGTCTAAATCAGAAAATATAAAATTACTCAGTCTGTTTACTTAGTGTCTGGAGGAAGATGTGCGTATTTAAGCAAGGTGGTCATGCGAAGCCTCCTGGGAATAGAAGCAGCAGTGAACTTGAACTTTGGCTGGCAGAACCCAATGCCAGCATTCCAAGCTCTGGCATAATTGGTTGACCTCCGTTGAAGTTGGGCGCTTGAGTCTGTGGGGAACTGCTGAGCTACTCAAGACTCCAAAAGGAGCTGACAGCTGCAAGAAAGCAACGGGGGCAGCTCATCAGAATGAACAACGGGAGGTTGCTGCCCCTTAATTCCCCTGCCAACTCCCAACATGTGTCGCATAGGTCTGCTTGCAAATCTCTCTGAAATTTTTAAAAAAAGCTGTCGAATTTTTGCAAATCTGTCTGAAGGAGGGAAAAGTCAGTTGTTGTTGTCTTGCAGTCTACTTGGACACTACACTCAACTTTTGGGGTCTACAGCCCTCTGAGAGGGATAGTTAAACTTGGTGTCCGGTACTCAGCAGGGTGTTCAACCCAATGGCCTTCTGGTCCCTTCCAACTGCACTATTTATTTATGGCAGAACCTCCTCACTGCAGCCGGAGGGCCAGAACCAAACCTGCCCTCTTTTCAGTGGCGGGTAAGACCGCTCTCTTTTCTGAGGTCCTTAAAGACTTGCTTGACCACCCAAGACTTGCTTACCTATTCCTAGTGTTTTGGCAAAGTCTCTTGCTGTTATTGTCTTTTTTTGCTGTTTTAAACTTTTTAACATTTTCTGATTTTATGGTTCTTATTACCTCTCCAGTGCCTGTTTTTATGAATTACTCTAAACCACCCAGGGAGTCTCAACTGCAGGGCAGCATACAAATGACATGAATGGCGAAATAAGTAAGTAAATAGGAGTAGTAAGGAGATTGTGAGAAGTGTCCAGCAGAGTGCTTTGCAGTTCTTGCCAGGAAAATCTTTTAATTTTAAATCCTGCATCAAGGCAGACTGACCCCGTTCGTCAACCCACCCTGAAATCAAGGCAGCTTAAGGAGCCAAACAGCTACAACCCACAGGATCTCAAGGTATTTTCTTGGTGAAAATCAAGCCTCTATGGAAAAGCTGCTCTGGTTCTGGTGTCACACTAAGCCGTGCTGCATCAGAACCCTTTGTGACTTAGACTAACCTAGTTTGCACATTATTCTATGTTAGAGTCAGACAGTTGTGTGCTCTATTTACACACTAGCCTGATGTCTGGAACACCTTGTCTGATGTCTGGAAGGGCTAGTTGTTGTTGCTTAATCACAAATTCGTGCCCGACCCATCATGACCCCATGGACAACATTCCTCCAGGCCTTCCTGTCCTCCACCATCCACCGGAGTCCACCTAAGCTCACACCCAGCGACTCCATCTAGCCACCTCATCCTCTGCTGTCCCCTTCTTCAGTTGCTGTCAATCGTTCCCAGTATCAGGATCTTCTTGGAAGGGCTAGGGGAAGTCTCAAAATGAGATGCAAGCCAATGAAAGCTGTCCAAAACTTCCCAGGGGGAAACCAGCCATGCAGAATGGTGCATATGGAATATTTAGGTGAGTACAGCTGTTAGTCATCTGGCTGTACCATCCCATGACCACTAGGCAGGATCTGGATAGCCGCACAATTTCCCAGAAACTTAGCTATGAGATTTCACAAGTGCACCAGCTTCCTAGCTGGGCCTCCAAGTCCAGAACACACTTGCCCACTCATGGCCAGCATAGAAAGAGCCACACAAGCAGTATCCCTGAAGTTGCAAGGGTGGCTCAGAGATGGGGTTTATGTGGTCTTCAGGAGGATAAGTATGGGAGGAGACTGACACTGACATGATGCAAAACGGCCTGGTGCTACCTCAACCTCCATCCCTCCAGCTCTGCGGCACTGAGCCAAAATCAGCTGTCAAAGGAAGAGTGCAAAGGCAACTTTGGCCTCCATTTTGCCCACAATCCTCTGAGTTCGCAGGGATACGGGCATCCTGACTATGTCATCAGTGGTGCCAAAGTATTCCTCTTGTGAGAAGTAGAGGATCACTGTGACTAACAAACTAGAACAGGTAAAGCTATGGATCACTTAGTGATTAATAAAGGTATTGTGATTGACGGACTAGAACAGGTAAAGCTATACAGGTCACTTAATGATTAATACAGTTATTGTGATTAACACAAACTAATACACTACAAGATGTAATTGGTAGACATGGCATTAAACTTTTGAACTTAGAACCTAACGTACGGCTGCGTAATTAGCTAATGCATATTAATGGTGCCTCCTGCTATGACTCAGAGGGTTATTAACATGAACATGGGACGTATGAGCAGGTGAGGGTAACATACCAAGGAGTAGTATGATGAAGGAGGACAGGAAGAGTGTGAATTCCCAGCATCCCAGCCAATGGGAGGAAGGAGGCAGGGACTTTGCGCGTGAAGTAGGGAATAAGAGGCTGTGTAAACTGCTCCCCAGTGCACCACTTTCGGGGTGAGTGCCCGGTCTGGCCAGAATGTATTAAACCGTTGCTGCTTGGTACTTTGCCTCCCGTATCGTCATTGCTTGGATTTCATTCCTTACACTCTGCTGCACACATCCCATAGTTCTGTTTGGGGTCTGTCCTATGACACCTTTTGCTGCAATGAATTCATCTATCTCCCAATGAATTTAACTATCTTTCTTTTCATAGATGTTGAAGGGATCATCTCAGAAATCCATGCAGAAAATTGTAGGAATTAGTATGCAGAATGTACCAGTTAAAGAACTCTCCATTTTACTCCTTTGGAGAGGCAGTACATATCTGGAGAAAGAAAAGCAATCTGAAAATGAGAGGAAAAACATTCCATTTATATTTATTTGTTTTAATCTTTTGGTTGTTTATTATTAATAAAATTTTATGCCACCAAGCACAGTTTTCTCTGGGTGCATTTCAAACAATAAAATGTGCAATGATTCTCACAGAACAATAGAAACAGTGAACAAATTCCAGCATAAAAGGGCAGCAAACAAATTAGGGCAGAAAAGGGGAAAACAGTATAGGCAAAATATTCTGTCTTCTGTATTCTTCTATATTCTTTGTGAAGTTCAAAGCCACTAATAATGAGCAAAATGAGAAGTGCCATTGGAAGCATGCCAGGGAGGGAAACAGCCTCAGAGTCAAAAATATGCAAATATTGTGTTTCGGGAGCCAGGGACAGCTGTTGTTGGCGTCTTTAGCACTTGCAGTTCTACTTCTGGTACACAGCTGGACCTTCAGCCTTCTTCTCCTGCTATTGCCTTCTCTTTCAGGTGGTTGGCCAGGTAGGTGGATCCAAGTAGCACATCAAGTCAGTCAAGGGGAAACAAGGTGCTCTGTAACACATACTAGAGTGGATCTAACTCATCCAACAGTCTTGTTGTGTAAGACATTTGCCATAAGAGTTGTCCCCATTGGTTTATGTCACTGGCAGTTGATATGGGCCATACCTGAAGGCTATCAAACACTGGTTTCATTCTAGCTGGTCTTTGAGGACACTCCTGACATAGGAGCATCATTCAGTTATACTCAGGGATGGACCACTTGTGGTCCTTCAGATGCTTTGCCCTGCAATTCCCATCAGTCCCAGCCAGAACAGCCTATGTTGGTGGATGATGGGACTTGTTGGCCACAATGTTCAGAGAACCACGAGTTGCCTCTTGTTGAGCTATTTGTACTGTAACACCCTTTCAATTTCAATAATAGAGGCTGAAGTACATTTCCTTGCTAGAGTTCAACTTATGGTGATTTTTTTCCAGTTAAAAGGGCCCAGTTTAAGGTGCTTGTCCTGAGATAAAAAGCCCTAAACTGCTTGGGACCAGGATACCTGAAGGACTCCCTGCTCCTCTATGTATCTAACCAGCTCCTCAGGTCAGTTTTGGAGGCCCTTCTGAAAGAGCCTTCCTTCAAGAAGGGAAGGTGGAGGGCTAATAGAAGCGGGGTCTTCAGCACTTGCACCCCACCTGTGGAACAACCTCCCGAAAGCAGTTTGCCTGGTGCCCTCATTACAATCTTTTTGGTACCAGGTGAGAACAACTTCCTTTTCCAGACATTTTAACCATTTATTTTATTCTTTTAAAGGTGTTAAATTTTATACATTCTTACTGTTTAAACCTATATTGTTTTAACCTGTTAAAACTATATTGTTAAACCTACATTGTTTTAACTTATCACCCCTTAACTCTCAGCTGTATATTGTTTTTGAACATATCATTATTTATATATTATGTGTTCTGTATATTACAGTTTTCTTGTGATTTTATTGACATTTTAACTTTTTTTTATTGTTGCAAATCTTTGCTGTAACCTGCTTAGAGAGTCCAATAGGACCAGTAATATGGAAAATAAGTTTCATAACAAAATAATAAAATAAATAAAATCAATGGGATGACTCTGATGAAAAGGTACCCTTCCTTCAGGGTGTTAGAATATCTGGCACTTGGTCCAAATCCAACATGCTGGGAGCCTCCCAGAGTAACCCAGTTTTAGGCCTATTTTGTAAGATCCCTAAAGCTTGAGTGCATAGAATCTCATGTTGCTTTCCCAATATCTGGCAGTACAGAAGAGATAATGATAAGACAACTGCACAAGACGGTGGTGTGGCAGGAATCTTCTTATGGATAGCAACAGCCAGCAGCAAGAATCTCAGCCTTCCTTTTGTGACTACTGTACCATTTTGGTTGGTCACAGAATTAACGCTATTGTGACTCTCTTGTCCATGAAAAGAAAGAATTTTCTTATCAGGAAATAAGTTGATCAGCAAAGGATTTCGCCAAAGCATTTCCCACTGTCTTAAGGCAATGGCTAACAATTCCAGAATGAAATTACCTCTGAATCATCAGAGTGGGATGGTGTGAACTGGTGTCCTGCAGCAGCAGGGGGTTGCACCCAACGGCCCCTTTCAACTCTACTATTCTATGATTCTATGACCATCCATCACAACATGTTGAGCTTTGCCAGACAAGGCGCTTTAGCCCACTTCTGCTTCCAGATTCATTGTGGGATTAAGACTAGATCTCTACACACCCACCTATTCCCCTTTTTTGATCTTCAGTACATCTGGCTACAAGAGTGTTACAGTGGTGGGTGGAACTGGTTAGAGTCCAGTATAATTCTTCCCCCGGCTCAAACTCTGACCAGCTGAAAAGAAGCAAGTCCAGTACTTTTTTCTTTTGTTTCCTTACTGGAGCATGTGAGGGAACTTTCAAAGCAGAGGTACGAAAGCTCAGGACTGGGCTCCCAATTATGCTCTCCAGGCATTTCCAGGTAGTGACATGCCCTTTGCCCGGCCTCCAAAACCAACCATTTGGTCATTTTCAAGCATTTGAGAAGGTTTTTATTCCGGTTGGGATGCCTGCAGTAAGGTTGAAGAGAGCCTTTTGGCTATCAGGTGGTGTACAAATGTAATAAATACATGAAATAAAAATAAGGCTTAGTTACTCACAGTAATGGTGGTTACACTGCTGGTTGGTGGGAAAAGAGAAGAAAGCAGAAAGCGCTGGTGGTGGAGATGCCCAAGCAATAAGAGTGGTGGCTTGCCCAAGCTGAACTTCGGTTTTCCAGCATGAGGAACTGGACATGGGAGTCACCTTTGAGTCTCCATCCTCAGGATGACCAACCAGATGGGAATGGCTGCTGAAGCCTCTTTCACAGCACTTAAGATGGGACTAGCAAGATTAATTATATTATTGTCCAATGCCCAGAGCTAGGTGGGTTCATTCTAACACCATGGGATGCAGGGAGGAGATGTTTACCAACTGAGGTGGACAGCAGCTTTCATTGCACTGAGTTAGAGGGCAGAGGCAGTAGAATAGCTTTGGATGCAGTACATCATCTCTTGGCTCCAAGATCTGAGCAAGAGGCCTTCTGTGAGAGGAATGGTTCATCTCACAGGAAGTCCCTCCACCTAATTTCGGGGGATCATTCACCACAACAGCCAAGTTAATTGAAGTTCTCCAGATTCTCTGAAGCTTGTTTCATCTTGTGTTTGCATTAGACAGTGATATTTCTTTTTTTTTCTTTTTGCATGAAATTTTTAGTATATTTTTGCACACATTTTTGCAAATGTACAGATCAGTTGTGCACATCTCTAACATGTATGCATCCTTCTTCCATGGATGGAAGCATATTTGTGTACATTTTTCCATGTGCATGTCTTCAATTGCATGCATACTGTTGGACACATTTGTGTGATGTCTGTCTATGAATCACATTACAGATGTAAAAATCTGCAACCTTCAACTATCCAGAAGCTCCAAGCTGGTAAATCCTGAACAAAATGAAATGAATTTCTCCTACTTCTGTATCTACGACTGACTCCATTCACCAAGGGATCCTAACTCTGTGTATTTTTTCAGTGAGCTTTCTGAGCTGCTTGGTGAAGTGGAGAATAAAGAATTCCACTTCATTGAGTGCATCTGGCCCGTCTTAAATCTGGCTCCAAATCTGGTTTATGTATATTAATAGAATTGCATTCCTACATCACATTCATTGAGCATGTCTTACACCTTCATTCCCAGGTAGGGACACAAAAGGCAGTTCAGCAGAGCAAATTCTTCATTGTGCATCTTTTCTAAAATAATTAACAATTGACAGTTTTTCCCCATTTAGGGACAATCCATGTTTGACTGTTTATGCTTTGGATTCAGCAAGTTACATCACCAGTTGTGCTTGCACTGGTCTGCTCATTTTCACCCACAGAATATACTTCATCCTGGAAAACTCTCTGGAAAACAGCCTCCAAGGGTTCTGTGGGTGAATACCTGCACTTTCTCCCCACAAAGTGATAAAAGATTGGCTTGATGCTGCAACAGATAGAGTAGACGAGATGGGAAAGTATGAAAAATAGATTGGAATAGCCAATGCTGTATATGGAGTATGCAATAACCCATGGGCCACGAAAGAGGAGAACAAAGAGGAGTAGAAGGAGAATAACAGTATTTAGGCTGCCTACAGGCTGCCGCTGAGAGCTGCAACAGATCTTAGCAAGCAGCACCAAAGTGGAAAGACAGAGAAGTGGAGGCAAAGCCCAGTAGTTCACAATGAACATGATTTGGGTCACTATTTTCAGTTCCATATAATACACCAGGAAGAATGAAATCTGCATTCCATAGAACATGGTACACAAGGTCCAGATCAGGAAGGATATCCTAGAAGAAAGACACGTTGGCCGGCGGCATGAGTACCAGGTTGGAAAGAGGACAGCCAGGCACCTCTCCACACTGATGACGGTGAGAAAACACAGACTGGCAGTAAATGTGAAAAGATAGAGTTCCTGCAGTACTACTACTAAAGCACTGATGTGGTAGAAAAAAGTGTAGGAGAAGTCAGTAACACAAAGAATAAGGAAGAAAGACAAGAACACGAGCGAGCCAAAGTCAGCAACAGCCATGTTCAGAAAGTAGGTAGTGAAAGCATTCCCCTTGATGCGGAAGCCTAGGAGCCAACTCGCATGTCCATTGCCTACCCATCCCAACATGCAGATTAGGATGGCGATGCTGAAGATGACCAATTCAAGCAGTGCGTAATGTCCAGAGTCATATACCCCGTTGATCCTGCCTTCCAAAATATGCTCCTCTGTATAATCCATAGTGGGTGGATAGGATGGATTGACGCTCTCTGCCATGAGATCAGCACAGTTCTGCACTCTTCCCTGCTCCGCTTACACTCTGTGTGGAGAAAGAAGACTGAGAGATATTAGAGATGACCTGTGGACATGGTTGAAAATATCAGTTTCCCATTTATGCTTCCTCAGTGGAAAGATAAACATAGAAACATGGAAACAGAGAGAGTCAGAAGGGCCCTCTTGGGCCATCTTGTCTGACCTCTGGCTACAGCTATCTCTGCTCACGACATGCCTACCATGTGCATGACCAGTCTTTCTTTGAACACACTCACTGATGGGGCCTCAACCACCTCCCGGGGAAGCCCATCACCCCCAGGGTCCTAACAGTCAGGAAATGCTTCCTGGCATCCAAATTGAACTTTGGTTCCCTGTGCTTTGCTCTGTTGGAGTGCATCCTGCCGTCCTCTGCAGGGGAGAACAGGTCTCTACCCACCTCCACATGAACCCCCCCCCCCCACATACCTGTATGTTGCCAACAGATCCTCTCTGAGTCTCCTTTTCTCCAGGCTGAAGAGACCCAGTTCCCTCAGTCTCTCCTCATATGGCTTTCCCTGCAATCCGGCCACCATCCTTGTGTCATACAGAGTGGTAGCAATACCTCTCTTGATCTAGAAGCCATACTTCTGACTATGCAACCAAGGGTGGCGTTTGTCCTCTTGACCGCCACGTCACACTGCTGACTCATGTTTAGCCTGCAGTCCCTTTCACAAGTGCTGCTCTCCAGCCACTTGTCTCCTAACCTGTACTTATGACACCTATTCCTATGCCCCAAGTGCAAGACCTTGCACTTATCCTCATTGAACGCCATCCTGTTGTCTCCTGCCCACTTCCATAGTCTGTCCAGATCCAGAAGAGGAGACTCAGAGGGGATCTGTTGGCAACATACAGGTATGTGAGGGGATGTCATGGAGATGGGTAGAGACCTGTTCCCCCCTGCAGAGGAGGGCTTGACGCGCTCCAACGGAGCAAAGCTCAGGAAGCCAAGGTTCCATTTGGATGCCAGGAAGCACTTCCTGACAGTTAGGACCCCGAGGGTGTGGAATGGGCTTCCACGGGAGGTGGCTGAGGCCCCATCGGTGTGGGTGTTCAAGGATAGGCTGGACGTGCACATGGTGGGCATGTTGTGAGCAGAGCTGGCTGGTGCCAGAGGTCAGACTAGATGGTTTGGGAGGCCCCTTCTGACTTGCTCTGTTTCTGTGTTTCTATGTTTCTATGTTTCAGATCTGGAGTACCTGCTCCTCAGTTGTGGCTACTGCTCCAGTTTTAGTATCGTCTGCGAATTTGATCAGCAGACTGTTCACCCCTTCTTCCATGTCATTTATGAAAAGATTAAACAGGATTGGCCCCAGAGCCCTGGGGGACCCCGCTTGTCACTGGCGGCCATCCCGATGATTCCCCGCTAATGGTTACCATCTGCTTTCGGTCAGTCAACCATGCCCTAATCCACCAGACAGTGCTTTGGTGTATCCCAAAACTCCTCAGTTTCTCCACCAGGATATCATGGGGCACTTTGTCAAAGGCCTTGCTGAAACCTAGGTAAACCACATCCACTGCATCCCCTCTGTCTAGCCACCTCGAAAACTTGTCATAGAATTCCACAAGGTTTGTTTGTTTGTTTGTTTATTTATTTGGAATTTTTGTATGCTGTCCCATCTACATAAGCCTCAGGATGGCTTCCAACATCATAAATAAATACACATACAAATACATACATATAAAATCTGGAAACATCCTGGCTCAATATTTTAAAACCAATAAATAATATCAACAATTATTAAAATATCATTTAAATAAAAAGGTCTTGGTCTGGAGCCGAAAAACAAATAACGACAGCGCCCAGCGGACCTCTCTGGGGAGCGCATTCCATAAGTGGGGTGCCACCACAGAGAAAGCCCTCCTCCAGGTACTCACCCTCCTAATATCTTTCATGGAGGGTTCCCAGAGGAGGGCCTCTGCTGCTGATCTCAGGGGGCGGGAGGGCAAATAAGGATGCAGGCGCTCCTTTAGGTAACCAGGGCCTAAGCTGTTAAGGGCTTTATAGGTGATAACCAGCACCTTGAATTAAGGTAAGAGAGTTGACTTTACTAGGCATGCCCTACATCAGCCAGAATAAGAAGATGGACCATAAGCCCATTGGGAAAACTGTCCCCTTTAGCTGAACTTTACCAGGTGAGGACTGTTTTCCCTCCTCCACCTCCAAGTAACTCCAGATTCCACTCGGATTCATCGCAACCCTACTGCCAGGCATTTGTCTCCCACAGCATGCTCAGAACAAGGCATGCCTCTCCTCCCTCACCTGGGTCTAGTAAGCAGCAGGGCTTTAGCAAGGGCAGCTGTCCCCCTGCAGATCTTTCCGCCCCACCTCCAACTCCAGGCCACACGCTGACTCTGGGAGTACTGCTCTGTTGATAATGCAATTAGAGTGCCTTCCAGGACAAATGCAACCAGATACCGCTTCCTGGAGTGCCGCTGCAGCAGCCTGTGTGAATCAGCAAAACCTGGGTTTGTTGGCTTCAGAGGATTCCACCCTGGCCCCATTCCAAATATCGCATTGGGAAGGCTGCTTTTTTCTTTTTGTGTAAGCGTTTGTGAGGTGAGGGGGAATCGGCGAGGAAAGGGCCTCCTCTGTCATCACACCTCACCTTTGGAATTCCCTTCCAAGGGAGGCGCAATCAGCACCCCCTTGATTTTGCTTTTGGCACCAAGTTAAGCCTTTTTTGACTTAGTATCTGTTTTTAGATTGGACTATTGGTTTGAAACAGAGAAACAGAGTGAGGCAGAAGGGATCTCCTGAGTGATCTAGTCTGACCCCTAACTCCAGTTTGTTGCTGGGTTATTGCTTTATTGGTGGTTGTTATTAGAAACATAGAAACAGAGAAAAAAGTGAGTCAGAAGGGGTTTCCAAGGCCATCTAGTCTGACCCCTGGCTCCAGTTTGGTGCTGCTTTATTGGTGGTTGTTATTAGAAACAGAGAAACAGAATGATTCGGAAGGAGCCTCCCAGGCCTCTGACCCCCAGCACCAGGTGGCTCCTCTGATGACATGCTTACCATGTGCATGCCCAGCCTATCCTTAAATACATTATTGGTTACATTGTGCTTATATTTTCCCCTATTCTATTTATACAGTTGCAATTATAGTGTATTTTAACCCTATTATATGTTATGGTTTGGGTTGTTCTTGTCATTTATCAACCTTGTATTTTTTTATATTGTTCTGTGAGCCACCAAGAGAGCCTCTGGCTATGGAGAGGCACACAAATGTAGTAATTAAATAAGTAAATAAACAAACAAGCAAACGAACGTGTGCATCACTTTCTGTGTGGGGCCTCCTCAGATCTTTGGTCCAGCAACGGGACGCCAATGTCCTACCAAACAACTTCTGTCCAGAAGTGGAGATGCCGCTTCACAGCTGGCCTGAGTTGCACAGAATACGATGGAATGCTCATTTTGCTTCTCGTGACCCTGCTTGCATGCACAGATGGAGCAGTGCATTGAACATTGTTCTTCTCTTGGAAGAGGGAGGAGAGGCGATGAGGGAAGCAAAGCGGGGCGATAAATGTTCGGCTTCCGGTATGTAGAGTTCCTGAGTTGCTAAAACAGTCAAAGGACCCACTGTCGGATTTGAGGTTTGCATCTGTGCCCTAAAAGGAAACAAGCTGCAGCCTTTCCTAGGAAATCAACTGCCAGGCTTTGAAATTGAGAGGAGCTGGGGGAGGACGTTCTGTGAAAACACTGGCTTAGTTTGCTTTGTGTGACCCACAAGGCTTGTGTTATTTGGCTCTGATCTCAGGATGGGTTATTCTAGAAAAAGAAAGGCACCTCCCACAGGACTGAGGGACGGAAGGTGGCGGGGTCTGCGAAGGTGTGGACCCTGGGAGGACATTCCCATCTCCTTTGTTCTTCTATTCGCTGTCTTGCTCTACCGAGAAAACCAAGCCACCTTCTGAGAGGGAAACACATGCTGCTGCAACATGAACACATACGTAACAGGGTGTGGCTGCTCAGAGCTTCAGAAAAAACAGTGCTGCAGGCTGTGGGAACTTGCAGCCTCGCTAATAGGAGAAGCAAGAGGGACCCAGCTGGCCACAAGCCGTGGCAAGCATGATTTCCTGGGAAATGACGCAGTCAGTTGCTTTTCAAGGCAGGAGCGCATGTTTCAGATCAGACTGCAGGTCATTTCATTAATTGGCAGACTCAGGAAGTCTGCATTAAGCCCTGCCGTGCTTTTTAGTTATCAGATGAACTGCCTTCTTGTCATTCTTCTCCCTTTCTAAACGTTTAAGCAAAGGGAAAGGAGTCCAGCGAACAATGCTGCATGTTATATTATATGAAAGCAGAAGCAGAGGAATGGGAGGAAGGAACTTGCCCTCTCTTGTTTGCAGAGGACGTAGCACGAAACTAGGGTCGGTGGTGCCACCACGGGGCCACAGCCCAGGGACCCACCTGCTAAAAGCAGGGGGTGCAGAAGCCAGAGCCACGTCATTCCTGTCATTGTGATGGAGCTGAGCTTGACATGCACTTAAAAGACAGGGAATGTAACTGAGTTTAAAACTGCACATGTGCAGAGAAGGTTTCATCAGGTTGGTCTGTGGCTCCAGTCTAGTACTCTGAGGATCCCTATCTGGCTTTCTGCTGCCCCCCTTCCAATGTCTGGTCAGCAGGTGGATTACTAGTTTCCAAGCTGCTTCCTCTGCTCTAAATGAAGGCTCTCCTACAGATTAGCTTCCAGCAGTAAAACCTGTAAGTCAAAATATGCAGATATTTTTTCCTATTTTGTCCTCACCCCTTTTTGACTTGGATCCCGCTCCTTTTGCTTTCAGCCCTTCCCATCCATGGAATGTGGACCCTGAGAATTTCTCCAAAACTGGGTGAGGCCCTCAAGATGAAAGTGGTTCCCCACCCTTGCTTTATATTCTGGGAGTTGCCCTGTGGGTACCTTGGTTTGGTTCTAGTAACTCTGGAGCATGACCACTAAGATGAGTCCCTCCTGCAGCAGCCAGATGCTTTTGCAGCATTACACAAAAGGCAGGAAGGCAAGCCCACTCCAGTGGCACTCCCCGTGCGTATATTGCTCAGCGGCATAGCCTCTTTCAAGATGGACATTCCATTAAGCCATCCTACCCAAGGGCATTGGATGGATCTATCATCCCTGAACTCAGCTAATCATCTTTTAAAGCCAAAATAGCCCACAGAAATCACCTCTTGCCTCTGCCTTTAATGAGGAAAGAGAATAGAGTGAGGGAAAGTGGAAAATACCATTTCATTTTCAGACAGAAAGAAAGAAAAAATAACTTACACTGTGTTTGGAGTTTCTTCCCTGGCTTCGATCTTTTCTTGCCCTGGCCTCTTCTCAGCAGCAAAGTGAAAACTTGCAAAGACACTTGCTAACATCTTTTCCTTTCTGTTCTTTTTCTTCTCAGATCTTTGCCAGCCTATGCCTAGAAGTCTCCCCTTGGCTTATTTCTTTAAACGTACCCCTCTAGGCTGGGTTCTGGTGTCTTTAGCAACTCCTCAGGCTGTTTGTTGTTTCTGAGCTGCTTTCTTCTCTTCAACTGGAACAGTTTTCTTCTGCCTTCCCTACCAAGACACCTCCTCCTCCAATCCCTTCTCAAATTTCTGGCTATCTCCTGACATCACCATGGCCAATGGAGGCTCCCCTCCCAATCTAAATTGCTGGGGGGGGGCAGTGTTGAGGCTGAGACAAGTCAGGATTGACATTTCTGGAGAAAAAACGGGTATGCACTTGCTAATGGACACAGTGACTTATGAGAAAGCTGATGCAGATGTACGCATTTGGAGTTGTGTAACCACAGTTTGACAAGTGACTCATAACCATTTTTAATAGCAACAAAAAAGGCAATCTTCTCTCCTGCATTTGGCAGAACAGAGAAACCATGTTTACAGAAGAAACTGATTTGTAAAAATACAATTCATCTGCTGGAAATAAGTGCAGTCTAATTAGAAGGAGAAAACTGTTTCCGTTAAATGTTTGGATCTCCTCAGGTTCTGCACATACACAGAAATTTTTGCACTGCTATAAATTTAGCCTTTGCAATATTTGAATAGAATGATAGCAGTGCTTTTGTTGTGTGCTTGGAACACATGGAAACTCAAGACATACACGAGATGCTTTGCATTGCAAAGAATTTAACCTTTTCAGTCCTGTAGACTAAAGCTGCCACAAATCCAAAATAAAGATAAGTTTCTTTCTCTTTCTGCTGGCAGAAGAAGAGATGAGTTAAATAGGGTAGAGAGAAAAGAAAGAAGGTCATTTGACTTGAGAATGATTTTCGTTTGTTTGTTATATTGTTGTCTCTCTCCCCAATTATCATCTTTGCAAAGAAGGTCATGTCAATGAAAAGCGAGACAGAGGGTCTGCCAGCAGGATCCAAAATAAGAAGCAGAGCTCATAGGTGCAAGGGAGGGAAACTGGAAGTTGATGCCAAATATTCCTGGAGAACAAAATCATCTCTCTTCTTTGCTAGACTAGTCAGGAGCACAGTTCCAGCTCCTGAAGGGCTTCCAGAGGAATATTCTGCCATTCTGGAGGCTGACAGGAAATCGATGGAATTCACTTTAAAAAGGCAGTTCCTGCCAGATGGGTTTCTCCAGATGTGCCAAGAAGGGATGGCAGAGACCTAGGAATCACTGAAATGGTACGATTGGATTGGACTGAACCATTCTCAACTGTAGGTGAGGTTTGCTTGATTGAAGGTTCCTCCATACGTAGAAGAAGTCGCTATTATAGGATGCTCAAACACTTCTTTCTGCAAAAAGTTTACTATGTGGAAGGCTTTTAGTGTATTCTCTTTTGTGTGAATCAACTCCAACATAAGTACCTCACCTCCTCTGCAAAGTGGTTAAGAAAATATCAAGGGACTCAACCTGGTTGGACATTTGGCCCTGAGCAGATTCAAGAGGTGGACATAGGAGTGACCGGGTTTCACTCATGGCTTACTTATGGTTTAACACAGGCTCTGGTTTGTAGCCTTTTTTAAGCAAGGGAAATGTGCAAATTGGCTGTAACTTGTGCATTTTATGCAAATTTCCCAGGCTTTGAAAAATAGTATGGAAACTGCTGCCCCCTTTAGAGCAGAGGACTCAACCCATGTGTGTTAGTGGGCTGGTGGGCTGGAATCCAGAGGGCTGTACTGGACCAAACTGCTAGTTTTTGTCCCATGTAAAAATTCCTCCTACATCTTCCCAAGTGGAATGTCCCTGGTAGAGTTTAACTAGCCCAGTGAGAAGACCTAGGCCAAAAAGGTGCCACACAGAACAAACTGTGAAGGAAGAACAAATATTGAAGGGATATGAAAGCCAAGAGGTGCTTTCCTTTGTTGAAGACTTTACACAAGGCACAAGACAAAGGTGGATATATTTTAAAAATAAGGTTCTGACTTTGCCTTTGCAGAGGAGAGTATAACTGGAGCTGACTTTCAGGTGATTTAAAATTTCAACTTCTCTGAAAATATATTTTAAAACTGAAGCAGGAAAGCTGCATATGCCTTTTCAATTTGTTAAGCAAATGAAAACATGTCACGCACGGACTCTCAACTAAGATACAAATTATTTATAGAAAAAAGTAAATGCAAAAAAACCTCACAAACAGAAGGAGATTGGCAAACTCACCATGGTTGCAAAGAAAATATATTTGTGCCCACAAACCACACGGGTGACACTGAAAGATTGCTTCATGCAAAGGAAGCTGCAGTTTGACCTTTACTGGTGGAGGAGATCACGGGATGAATCTGACTGAACACACTTGAGAGCCCATTATCGGGCCTATGCTGTGGTGGTGAGGGCGGCGAAAAAGAATTTCTTTTCCGTTTCCATTGCCTCCTCAAAATGCCATCCGGCGGAGCTTTTTCGAGTGGTGCAAGGCCTGGTTCATCCAGGTCCTAAGAAAGATCTGGTTCCACCCTCGAAGGCCCGCTGTGACAACTTTGCCAAGCATTTCAGGGAGAAAATAGCTCAGATTTGTCACGAGCTAGACTCTACTAGTGACTCAGAGGTTTCTGGGGAGACACCAATGCTGCCGTCTGGTCCAAAATTAATGGATAAATTTCAGTTATTGCGGCCTGATGATGTGGACAAGGTTCTTGGACGAGTGTGTCCCACCACTTGCCTATTGGACCCTTGCCCGTCTTGGTTAATAAATAATTCCAAGCATCTGGATCTTGGAAGTGGTTAACGCCTCTCTGAGGGAGGGTCGGGTACCTGCCCCTTTAAAGTAGGCAGTAGTCCGAAAGTGTCACTGGATCCAGAGATGGCCACTAATTATAGACCAGTGGCCAACATCCCGTTTCTGGGCAAGGTGTTAGAGCGAGTGGTGGCGGGACAACTCCAAGTTCTCTTGGATGAAACTGATTATCTGGACCCATTCAGTCCGGCTTCAGACCCGGGTACAGTACTGAATCTGCCTTGGTCGCCCTGTACGATGACCTGTGCAGGGAGAAGGACTTCAGCGAATGGGGCGGCATAGAAATTTTCTAAATAAATAAATAAATAAGAAAACAGTACTGGAAATTCTGTCTTAGGACATCAAATATAATAGCTAGGACGAAGATAATTTCCGGTGTGCCCAGTTACCAGCAGTATTGATTGATACTTCACACTGCTTAAATTTCCACCAGTCTAAACTAGTAGTTTGTAGCTTTCAGCTATGTAGCAAATATTTATTTAATTAGTATCCCACCTTTTTTCCTTTCAAGAAATCCAAAGTGGCTTACATGCTTCTCCTCCTCTAGATCTTATTCTCATAGCAGCAACCTGTGAGGTAGGTTGGGCTAAGAGTCCATGCCTGGCCCAAAGTCACCTGTGGCTGCATGGCTGAGTGGGGACTCGAACCCGGGTTGCCTGAGTCCCGGCCCTACACACCTTTGTGCTGTACCGCACTGGCTCGTTTAAGAGCAAAGAAGGGAGAAAAAGGAAATTACAAGAAAATGTTCCAAGCAGAGATAAAAAGAACAGGTCCTGTGAACCCAGATGTAGATTGGAGAAGCCCTTTTTGTTAGAATCATAGTATCATAGAATCGTAGGATAGAAGAGTTGGAAGGGGCCATGAAGGCCATCGAGTCCAACCCCCTGCTGTTGCAGGACACCAGCTTACCCCATCTGTTATACAAATCCTCAGATAGTGGGAAGGAAAGAGCAAGAAGGAAATCACCCAGTGACCGAAACATGGGTTTGATGTATTCTCTGATTCTTTTCCTGCCTGAATTGCAGGAACATTTCATTTTTTAAAATTTTTGTCCAAATCACTGTTTTTCACCAACCCTGTTGTGAATGCATAAGGAGGGATCTGCTACAAGCAGTGTATTTCTTTGAGCTGGACAGCTTGTCCTGTCCGGGATGGAGAGAGAAATAGACCCTGTCACTGTGATTTTTTATTCATTTATTGAACTTACTATATTGTTATCTCTCCTTTTTTTCTACAAGGAATCAAGGTGGATATCCCTCCTCTCCATTTTCTCCTCACAACAAGCCTGTGAGGTAAGTTAGGTTGGAAGTCAGGGACTGGCCAAGTCCTGGACTACCTTCTGATTTTATTCCTTCTTATTCTTTATTATATTACTAGTGTGTCAGGAAGAGTTTGTTGGTATTTTGCTTGAAAAAGTGAGCTCTAATCTGATCTTCAGAATCCATTTTATTTCATACTATAAATTCTTTAATCAATATACTTGAAAAAGCCAGGTTCAAAAAAATCTCCATGCACAGGGTTTGTCCCAGAGGTTCAAAAATTGCAACTTTCATGTAACTTGTCAAGACATTTTGATAGCCCACCATGCATCTGCCACTGCTGTGAATCATCATCATCATCATCATCATCATCATCATCATCATCATCACTGTGATTAATTTCGCTACTTCCTGGGTTTTCCTTGTGAGCCTGAGCAAGGGAAATCCTTCCTTGCTACTAAGATAGCTTGTCCTCCTTCTGTGCTACTTGTGAAGGTTTGGTCATGGGAAAAATAGAATTAAGAGCACAGTCATGATGAAGGCTTGGGATAAAGCAACCAAGAGAGATTAGGGCTAGCAAGAGAATCTTTGCAGTTAGGGAATGGATTTCCTCACTTACCATAGCAAAAAGACCCCTTAGACGACCTGGTGCACCTGCAGCTGGAGTATTGTGTCCAATTCTGGGCCCCTCATTACAAGAGTGATATAGCAAGGATGGAATCAGTGCAGTGAAGGGCCACTAGGATGGTGGCCGGATTGCAGGGAAAGCCATATGAGGAGAGACTGAGGAAGCTGGGTATTTTCAGCCTTGAGAGGAGACTCAGAGGGGACCTGTTACTGACATACAGGTATGTGAGGGAGTGTCACACAAAGTGGGTCATGACCTTTTTTCCCCCATGGAGAAAGGCAGGATGTGTTCCAATGAAGCAAAGCTCAGGAACTCAAGGTTCAGTTTGGATGCCAGGAAGTACTTCCTGATGGGTAGGACTCCTAGGGTATGGGATGGGCTTCCATGGGAGGTAGTTGAGGCCCCATCAGTGCGGGTGTTCAAAGATAGGCTGGACATGCACATGGTGGGCATGTCATGAGTGGAGCAGGCTAGAGCCAGGGTTCAGACTAGATGGCCCAGGAGGACCCTTCTGACTCACTGTTTCTACGTTTCTAATAACAGCAACAACAACTAATAAAGCAATAAACCAGCAGCAAACTGGAGCTGGGGGTCAGACTAGAAGGCCCAGGAGACGCCTTCTGACTCACTCTGTGTCTACATTTCTGTGTTTCTATGTTTCTTTTGACTGGAGCAAAGGGAAGGGAAAAACCTCCTTCTAGCAAGAGAAATCTCATTCTGTGTCTGGGGGAACAGCTTCAGCATCCCCTTGTCCAGCTGGAATAGCCCACTGTTGCCCTCTGCTCGAAAAGTTTGTGCACGCCACTGTATCAGAAACCATTTTAGTGCCGGCTTCACACTAACACAGCAGGCTTCCTTCCCTGTTATTTTGCATCAGTTACCCAGTTCCCTCCACTTCAGCTGCTGCTTCCTCTTTGAAAAGCCTCTCTAGGGCTCCCTTTAATGTTCTCCTGAAATAATCTTTGCTGTCTCTCCCAGCCAGGTAGTAAGTTACTGGGTTCATGCTGCTGTTGAAAGAGGCAAGGAGCACAACAACGGGTGCAACAGAATCCAGGGTATCACAGCAATCACAAAGACCATATCTGATAGTAGTTAACATGTTAAGTGGGGTGTCAAAGATGATGATAAAAAACAACGTGACCACAATGGCGGTATATGCCCTTGCCGGGAGATGTAGCCTTGAGTTATGGCAGGTCTTAATTAGGAGGATAAAAGTGGAAACCATCATAACAGGAGTGAAAAGCAGGGTGTTTAGAATGCTGGCTGCAAAGACAATGTTAACAAAGCAATTACGGAGCTGAAGAAAATGAAATAAAAGCATCATTCCCGAAAAGAGGCCTGACAGAACCCAGAGCAGACTGGCCTGGACAGCTGAAGCATAGCTTGATCGATGGCACCGATACCAGACTGGGAGGAAGACAGAAACGCAGCGCTCTATGCTAATGAGTGTGAGGAGATACAACCCTGTGTTGTGTGTGAAAGCAAAGTAGGCAAAAGTAACTGTGGTTTCCCTGAGAAAGGGTTTTGGCCATGAAATGATAAGTTCAACAAGCACTATCAAGACAGAGCAAAAGTCTGCTATGGCCAGGTTCAAGATGTAGGTGGTGAAAGAGTTCCTTTTGATGTAGATGCTGAGAATCAAGGTGACAATGCCATTGCCCACCAGTCCGAATGCACATGTCAGACCAATCAATGCATAAAGGATTTTAAAGCCTTGTCCATCAAGGTGGTCTTCTCCAGAAGAGAGATTTCTGCATGGATAGCTTGTGTTCAGCACTGTCATGATGATAAGCACCGCTTTGCCGATGATCCTGTTTGCACAAATTCCTATGTTGAGCAAGAATACAGAGCGGAATTAGGATACTCTGGCAAATGGTGTACATTTGAGAGTACAGAAAATGGTAATGAGGCACACACTCCACATGAGAGGAAGCAAGAGGGCTCTTACAGCTGTGGAAGATGTGCCAGTAAATTTAAGGTGGCTTGACTTTTTCAGCTTGGGATCTGATGCAGACTTAGAGGAGAATGGTTCCGAAGCCAGTAAAGGAAAACTCAGGTTTTACAGCCTCTGGGGGGACCAGCAGTGTAATAACTGAATTATAGTGGGAATTTGGACAGAAAGCCTGTGAAGGATCTGAGAGTGAGCAAGAAGCCAGACTAGGGATTTAAAGAAAGCCATCCCATAATGGACAGTAAGAAAAGGAAGGGAACCAAAGTGAGACCAGGCATGTTCCTCAGAAGCCAACAAGAAGAAGCCTTCCAGTCTAAAATGCTTTTCTTCGGCCGAAAGAATTACTATGTGTATAGCTGAAACTCCCTTTTATAGTATATGAAAGAACACTAGTTTGTAAGGTAAGCCGTATGAGAAGAGACTGAGGGAGCTGGGTTTTTTCAGCCTGGCGAGGAGGAGACTCAGAGGAGACCTGTTAGCGTAATACAGGTATATGGGGGGGGGGGTGCCACACAGAGGTGGATCATGACCTTTTTTCCCCTGCAGTGGAGGGCAGGACACGTTCCAATGGAGCAAAGGTCAAGGAACCAAGATTTAGGGTGGATGCCAGGAAGTACTTCCTGATGGTTAGGACCCCTAGGGTATGGAATGGGCTTCCACAGGATGTGGTTGGAGCCCCATCAATAGACTGGACATGGACATGGTGAGCATGTCATGAGCAGAGCCATCTGGAGTCAGGGGTCAAACTACATGGCCCAAGAGGACCTTTCTGATTCCCTCTGTTTCTGCATCATCTAGCCATTCCCTGACATGCAGGGCTGGGTGTATTAAATTCATTTTGGCATCTTTATCTCCTCCTCTGTTAATTGAATGTGATCTTTAAGGGCTGCAGAAACCAGGAGAATAATTTTTTCTTTGTGCAAACATCCTCAGTGTGCTAGAAGGCTAAATGGTTCAAATGGAATTCCAAATCTTTCTGCAGCTGTTCAAGTGGAAAAAGGAAGGGAAGGGAAAGCATCGTGTTTATTTCAAATGCAAGTCTGCACTTCTAAGGAAGAAAATTGCTCTTTCCACCTCAAAAGGTGTAGGTCTGATATCTCCTGTAACAAGTGGGGTATACCCAAAAGAGATGTCTGAATTTCTGACAAACTGTGGAACCTAATCCAACTCCTCCTTTTTTTGCAAAGAAAACAAATCATACCTTCATAAATAAGAGAAGCTGTTTCCCTAGGATGTAATATTTCTGCTTGTGAAACTCTCTTTTTGCTGTGATCTACCTGGAGCAGGAGGAGCAGGCAAACAAAGAAACATACATAAATGGTAAACGAAGCAAGTGAATGGCAGGTAAGTATGGATGTATGGATTTTGGTAAGTCCATTCCATGTACATCTTTGGGATGGCCAGGAAACTTTGATCTGCTCCTTGATGGAATCAGATCTTAATTTTCATTTCCTAACTTGCATTAATTTGCAAAAATTTGCAATTCCAGAAATGGACCAATCTCCCAAAATGAATGTTTTCATGCTCTGAAGTTGATTTTTTAAGATCATATTTTGCCGTGGCTGTATTCACTTAACCTTCGAGAAAGGTAGCAGGGTGAACCCCCCCCCCCCACCCCGAGGTCTGCAGAATATGTACAACTTGAGCAAATCTGGGCTGTTGCAGAATCAGGTGGAATTCACAGAAATGCAAACTCATTTGAATCTGATTCTCATTTCTTCAACATCCCTAGGTTTAAACTCTTGCTCCTAGAGGATCAATGCAGGATCAACAATGATGTACTGTCTTTTTGCAAGGATCTGTCTGCAGTGGGAGGAACAGGTGATCAGAGAATTGTGGTCTAAGGTGAGCAATGCTCATGGGAAAAGATGAGCTGACCACTCACTTAAGCTGGATCAAATGGACAGGTCACTTGTACTCAAGGGCAGCTACCAGATTCCTGTATTCCGTGGTTGGATATTAGAACTCCCACACAAGGACAACGAGGGAATGGTAGGGACCACTGGATGCCTTGAAGATCCCCTGCTATTCTTTTAGCCAAGCTTCAGTACAACACAAGAAGCTATGCTATTTTTCAGGAAACATTTTATTTATTTATTCATTCATTCATATTTCCATTTATATGCCACCAAGTACTGAAGTCTCAAGGTGGCTTGCAAGAAAAAGAGAAAACACATAGAACAATGAATAAGTATAAAAAGCTTCATTATCAACATTCTAAACCTTATGATAACAATAACAAAACATGCAGTGAAAAGGAAGGCAGGATCAATTGCTAAAAAAGAGATTAAAATGCAACATTTTAGTCTGGTGCTGAAACAGTAATAGAGATAGTGCCAGGTAGACATCCCTAAGGAGACTATTCCCAAGGCAGGGGGCAGCCACTGAGAAGACTGTTCATCTATTTTGTCATCCCTCTGACTTCTTGGTACTTGCAGAAGGGCCTGTTGACCTGATCTTAAGGGATGGGCAGGTTCTTATGGAGACATGTGCTCCTTCAGAAGATCATTCCCTGCCAGCAGATGAAGAAGTGGCAGCTGTTCACTCCAGAACATTCTAGAATGGAAGCGGGTGCTTCTGGACCACTGATGCCCCAGACAACTGCTTACCTTGAGTCCCACGTGGTTTGGTCCAGCAGCTTCTTTTCTGATCGGAGGACTTCAGAAAGTTAAATTTCCTTGAAGAATCTAATTTTCTTGTTTGAATGTCCTTGCCTCTTGTCAGGACACATAATTTTTTATGGTAGAAATGCTACTTTCCATGAAAATAGAGGAACTTTTAAAAGAGTATCCTCTGAACCAAAAAGGATGAAGCACACCTGTGAAAGATACTCGGAGGATGCTTTGCAAGAACCGATTGCAGTTCTTGATGGGCATGAAATGATGACTCACAGAACATTAATAAATGAGCAGCTTTGCCTATTTAAGGCAGCTGAGCCTGGCACCAGGCCTGTTTGCATACTGTGGTCAGAGAGAGAAGATGTCAGAGTACTCCTGGCCTTGAGATCTGTGGTTTGGAGTAGGGAAGGATAGTTTTCCAGCAGCTATTCAAAGGCCCTTTTGAATGGCACAGAGGCTCTGTTAATTGAATTAAAGTCGATTCAATTCTAATTTGTACTAGCCCAAGGCCATGACAAATACATCAAATGAAAGTGCATAAATAACAAAAGGAAGACGTTCAGCAATATAAATATATCAAAATAAACTATGAACAGAAATTCATCTTTAACTCTGAATCTCCAATAGGGTTTAGAGCAAGTTTGTCTCATTCTCTCTTCCTGATTTTTTTTTTTTTTTTTGCTGCCAAAGCAAACAAAGCAACCTTATGTTTCACAAAACTGTTACTTCACCCTCCTCCATGTGCTTTTCCACCCCCTGTACTCATCGAAGTGGCAGTCTGAAGAGAAGTAGCTTCTATATTGTGGGAGGTGTTCCTGTGAGAACATGGAAATTGTTCCCTCAAAAAGTGAACTCTTGCCACAAATAAGCCCACGGACAAGCTCAGATCACCTCCTTCCGGTAATGTAAGTCTAAACTTTGACGAGAGTTGCTCATCATAAAAGTTCCCCTTTTATTCAGCTGCTGAGATACTTTCTTTACCTCAGATGCCTTCTCTTTACCCTTCAGTGACCAATTCTCCGTCTGCCTTCCCTAAAGTGGTGAGATGCTCTAAACCTTGTGAAGCATCGGGCAGCCCATCTTCTGAAGAAAAACAGTTTGGTCTCTGGAGTGGTACTTTGCTTGAGCTTTTGGCCTGGAAGTCTTTGCTTTTCACTTCCTATGCCCTTAACTTAGCAGGCATGATAAAAGCAGTAAAGGAGACCCCAAAGGATTCAAGGTTAAAGGGAATATATACCCAGCTATATCCTGGAGAATTAGGGGGTCATTTCTTGCCAGCAGCCAAGGAAAATGTGATAGTCCTCTCTAATACATTTCTGTAGCTAAACCTGTTGCTTCTGGAAGGTGGACACCACAAACATTTGCCTGCTTTGATTCTGTGTTTCTACAACCCCTGACTGCAGGGAAATATTTCATCAGCTAACACTCCTTTTTGAACTCCCTGAGGACCATCCTGAAGAGAAATTATCCCCATAATTGTTCACATAAATTACAGAATTTCAATCACATTGAAGCAAGCACAAATCGGGCTCAGAAGTATCTGGTGGCCAGAAAACAATCTGTGGTACTCTAAGTGATTTCCTTGGTCAGTCTAGCTCCCGTTTGACTCTTTGTGCCTCTTGCTAGAATGCACAATTGGTTACTTTCAAAGTGGTGGTATCCACACAGAAAAGAGGAACTTGAGTAATAGTTTCTGCTAAACCTCCAAACCATAATGAATTTCTAAGTATGTCAGGAGAGGATGCCCCACAAGAAATGTTTACTTCTCGAGATGGAGGACTTCGGAAAAACTGCCTCATCTGAATCCTCCTTGCCTACTTTCTATACTCTGAACTTTTCGAGGATTCTGGGTGAGCCTTACCAGGGTTTGCAATTCTAATTTAAAGATGTGAGAAGAAATTGTTCCCATATTGACCAACCAGATGCCTCTGTGAAGCCTAGAAGAAGGGCATGAGGACAATAATCGCCTTCTGCCATTTTCCCAGCTGCTCACACTGATATTGGCAGTCATGAGCAGACATCAGAGCTAAGCCCTTGATACTTTGGATTAACCTCCATGAAATTGCTTAATCTCCTTTGGAATCCATCCTCATCAGTGGCCACCACCACATATTATGTTTATAGAGTCCTGTGTGAAAAAGTATTTCTGTTTGTCTGTCCCGAATATGCAACTCAACATTTCATTGGCTGACCCTGCGTTCTAGAAACATTAAAGGAGGAGTAAATCCTAGGGTTGATATGGAATTTTCCAGAATCTGTGCCTCTAGCATCCACAAACTTCTTCACATGCTCAGCTTGGGCCTACAAAACCAGTGAGGCAAAAGCAAGTCCACAAATGCTTGCAGGCCTCCTGTGGTACAATTGTCAGCCTTCCCTGTTGGAAGTGGCTGCAGGATGTGAAAAGATGGATGCTGTGAGCAGGTGTGCCAGGAACCATTCCTGGCAACCAACCTTCTTCCCCACTCACTGCTGCCAGCAGTGGGGTGCTAAGGAATGGGGGTTGCATGTACAGGGTGTGGGGCTTGATTCCTGGCAAGCATCCCATGAACACTAGGCATGTTCACCAAGAACTCAGTCTCTGGGCCACTGCAAAGCAGAATGGGGAGCTGAGCACAAAAATCTGATGGATTCTCACCCCCAAACAGATTACATGCAACTACCTAGTAAACTCCTTTCAAATCACCTTCTTATACTTGAAAAAAGTTGCTTTGTTGCCACTCTCTAGCGAAAATTGCAATGAATATGTTTACACTTCCTTTAACATTTCACTATACCCATAGTATTCCCACTGTGTTCCCTGGAACCACCTCTCATGGAAGCCCATTCCATACCCTTGGGGTCCTAACTGTCAGGAAGTACTTCCAGCCATCCAAATTTTGAATCTTGGTTCCTTGAGCTTGGCTCTGTTGGAGCATCCCTTGCCTTCCTCTGCAGGGGAGAACAGGTCTTTACCCACCTCCACATGACACCCCCTCACATACCTGTATGTCGCCAAGAGATCCCCTCTGAGTCTCCTCTTCTCAGCTGAAAAGACCCAGTTCCCTCAGTCTCGCCTCATACCCCATCCCCTGCAAACTGGCCACCAACCTTGTGGCCCTACGCTGCACTGACTCTAACCTGGCTAGTTCCTTCCTGTAATGAGGGTCCCAAAATTGAACACAATACTCCAGTTGCAGGCACACCAGACTCATATAGAGTGGTAGTAATACCTCTCGATCTAGAAGCCATGCTTCTGGCTTTACAACCAAGGTGGTTTCATTCTAGTAGATTTGGATTGCAAGGAATAAAAATCATAAAGGATTAATACAAGAATAAAATGGAGGCAGACCCAGAAATGTGCTCACAACTGTCAGTAATAACAACAAATTTTGATTTTCTTTGTGACAAAAACAAGCCCACCTAAGTCACTAAAATGAAGTATAATTTTTCATATTATTTGTTAGTGATGTTATACTAAAATTTAGTATATATACAGTAAATTTAGTATTATTTGACCACCAAGTAACAAATGGGTTCTTCAAAGCAGTGCTTTTTTTTGTAAGAAAAAAGGTGCCGGAACTCATGAAATTATTTACCTTTCGCACGTAGTCAATCACTGTACACACACCCACACACGTCAGTTGTGTAACAAAACATAATGGTCGCGGCCTGCAGTAAGCACTCAGCACGTGATTCACACGACCAATCACAAGCCGAGCAGCACCATCACAACCAGCGTGGACAAAGTACACGTGCATCGGACTCGACACACAGGCAGCCCACATGCACCGTTTTAATGATTTTGCCGCCGACCTGCTACACTTGACAGGGCGATTCGAATGCACGTGAACCAAACATCAAATTTTCAAAAGTTACTTTTAAAACTTGGAAAATCTGTCCAAAAAAGGTGCCGAAACTCCGTTCCGGTGCGTTCTATGACAAAAAAAAGCACTTCTTCAAAGCATTCATAAATAGCTTTTGTTTGCATTGTAAGGACCATCAATAGTAACATTTGGTTCAAATGAAATGTATTACATGAAACCTATTTATGAATTTGCTCTGCAATGGTTTTTCATGATGAAAAGCCTTCCTTCAGCATTGAAGCACTACACTAACTCCGTGTAGTTTGGCTTGGGTCCTGGCAGCTACTCAAGCGATGTAGGATCAGAAGGAGAGCTGTGAAAACCGCTCCAGCAGTGTGGCACCTTAACGATGATCAATGATACTGTAGCTGGAGAAACTGTTGGCCAGAAAGAGTTCTTATCCTCATTTTGCCATCATGTAGCTCTTTGAAAGCCATGTGGTGGTGTAAATTGGGGACCTGGATGATCCAGGTTCTAATCCCCACTCGGCCAGGAAGCTCATCGGTTGGCCTTGAGCCAGTCATGGACTCTAGACTCTTATGGACTCTGTCCAGTTTCCCCTTGAATGTCTCTAGTGTGGGAGAGCCCCCCACCTTTCCAGGCAGCTGGTTCCACTGTCATATTGCTGGGACAGTGAGGAAGCTTTTCCTGATGTCCAGCCTGAATCTGGCTTGTTGGAGCTTGACCTGATTATTCTGTGACCTGCACTCTGGTATCAGTGATAAGAGATCTTGACCTTCCTCTTTGTGACAGCCTTTGAGGTACTTATAGTGAGATCTCATATTCCCCGTCAGTCTTCTCTTCTCAAGGCTGAACATGCCCAGTTCTCTCAATCACTCCTCACAGAGCAGTGTGTCCAAACCCTGGATCATTTTTGCTCCCCTGTTCTGGATCGTTTCTAATTTTTTCTTAAATCTTGGTGCCCATCTGATTCCAGATGTTTGCTATGTTTCTTTTTTTCCTGCAAGGAACTGGCAAGAAACGCAAAGTATGTGACATAATCCTTTTTCACTCCATGGCATCTCACAACAGCCCTGTGAGGTAGGTTAGGCTGAGAGGCTGTGTATGACTGGCCCAAAGTCACCTGGTGAGCATCCTGGTCCAGTCCAACCCTCTGTCTGCTGCACCACAGAATGAACTAACCTTTGCTTGATGGGGAGGAATTCTCACTGCATTCAGTGGGCATGGCCCTTACCAGTAAATCCAAGCTGTCCAAGAGGGTTCTTTCATCCTTGGAAAAGAATCTAACAAACAGCCCCCCCCACCAACCCCACTGTGCCCTCACTTCCAGTAGTAGCTCAGCTTTTCTCAGCAGGCTGGTGGACTTCCTGGGACAAAATGTTCCCTCTGGCAAAGATGCTAAATTATTCTCACCCAGGAACACAGGCAGGCGCTTGAGAACAAACAAGGTACTGTTTTTGAAGCAATGGGAATGAATTTCTTTTTTTAACGTGGGGTGGGTGTGGGGGAGAAAAACCATTGGCAGTCACATATAAAAAAGTTAGATCCACATGACAATTTTAAGAATTCACCTGGCCTTCAAAGATCTTCCCCAACACTTTTATACCGAGCACTGCAGAAAATTTTTATTCTTTTTATTATCATTTTTATTATCGTTTTAATGACTCAGTGAAGCATTCCTGATGTTTGTCAGAATCAGGATAGGGAAGCTTGGAATTGCAAGTTTGGAAATTGGAATGAGGGGGACTTTCAAAGCATTCCTAATTTCCACCGTGCTGCAGGTCTCTTTCTTAGCCTCACATTTCCAGACCTGCCTTCCTTTTCTGCAGGTGGTGGAAACTCTGTAAGAAATTGTTCTTCAGTTATGACTGTGACTTGTCTCCTTCTTGCCACTCCTTTTTCCAGCTTTAGCCACTGAATGTTCTCCCCATAATGTCATTCTATTCATGGGATGGTACTTCCACCTTTTTGCAATATGGACTTTCCCTTTTCTGCTCTACACAGTTGCTTTGGAAAATTGCTACTGCTGATTTGCAGTTATAGCAGCTACCGTAGAACAACGATTTTCAAGAATGCATCACTTCCTCTGGAAACTACTTGCGATTACAGCATGTTTATTTAGCAATATAATAGTCGTGTGACGTTTGTAGCAGAGGAACTCTTGCAAGATCAACATCTCTTTTTCACATGCACTAATATGTATATTGTTGAAAGAAAAGGATGCTTCCCCATCAGATTCACACCCTTATTTGATGTTCTTAAAAGTATGCAGCACAAACAATCAGGTTTGTCAGAATCAGGATAGGGATAGGTGGGGTACCTATGAAAAGCTATCCCTGATAGGTGGGGTACCTATGAAAAGCTATCCCTGATAGGTGGGGAACCTATGAAAAGCTATCCTGATGAATAGCTCCTCATTCATGAAACGCTGGGGTGGGCTCTCTGGCCCTACCATGGCTACCATTCATGCTGGAGGGGTGAAACCAAGCATCCAATCAAGCATCTGTAGTTAATCTTTGCTCTTCAAGGTGTGCAGGCACGAAAGCTATCCTGAAACACTCCTTGAGAATCATCAGCAATGCTGATGTATCACAGGGTTACTCAGAGTCAAAAGGGATCCTTAAGTTTTATGGTGTGATCAGTGTCTTCTATGCCCCAGCAACCCTTGAAAATTCCCCTCACTCTACCCCTGCTCCAAAGTGATGATCTTACTCATGCATCTTCTCCCAAGCCACCAGAATAGAAAGCTCCACTCATGCCTGAATGGGATGCGTATCGGTGCCTTAGCTTCATACCACCTGCCTGCCTTTTGGCATGCCTGTGATTGTTGTCCCGAACTGGAGATGGCCATCTGTCAACATCAGAGTTCAGAGCATATGACATGAGCAGGATGGGGTTTGGTTAATTTTTAGTCTGATACTTTTTGTGAAGTCCTAAGTCAGAAAACCATCTCCTATAGAAGAGCTCTTGCTTGCCATTCTGTCTGTGTTATTCACAGAAGTTCTTTATCTTTTTGGTCTAGGGAAGGTTACAAAAGAAGCCCCACTGTTTGCTGTGGAGACTGTTGCCAATTAAAAGCAAAGCCCTACATAGAATAAAAGGGGCATTGAGAACACATGAGCTCCCCTTCTTTGGAACTCCCTTTCTAGGGAAATTCGCCTGGCGCCATCTTTATTTTCCTTTCAGTGCCAGGCAAAGACATATCTTTATAGGAAAGTTTTTAACATTGTGCCTGCATGCTGTGGCCCTTTTAAATTGCTTTTACAGATGTTTAAATGTTATGTTTTAACTGGTTTTAATGTGTTTTACTCTGTTAATATATTTTATGCATAGTAAGCTGCCTAGGAAGGCCTTGGCAATTAGAGGTGGCCTATAAATACATGTAAACACACGCACACACAATAAGCCACTGGCCACCACTGCACAAACCTGTGCTGCATGGATTTTCCAGGCTTCCACCATGTCTACTTCTCCGGAAGGACATCATTACCTCATTGGGTATCAGCCCCTGTCATGTCCTACCTGGAGAAGGATTCTTCAGATGAAAAGAGCCAGCACTCCAGGCTCCAGCCAAGGTCAGATGCAGAGGCTGAGGCTCCAGCCGACTGCCTTCCAGGAGAGGATCATCCAGGGCCCTCCTGGGCAGTCCCTGGAATTCTTCAAGGGCACGAGCTGCAGTCAGAAGGTATTCACTGCATAGAAAGGAGGAGGAGTCCACTGATCCAGCAGAAGTCCAAGCAGCAGGCTGAGTGTGGAGTGTCCTGTAAAACAACACACACTGAATTGGCCAGCTGCACTGATGACCACTGGCTATTGATTAGATCAGCCTGCTCTTTATGTCAAACAACAGGAACTGATACTGGCATCTTTGGCTTCGTTTAAGATTAACCGGATACCTAGACTTTTGGCTTGCTTCCTGGACATTAAGCTCTGGATGCACAAACCGTAGGGCAAAGACCTTCAGACTGGATTGACTAATCTTTTGGAAGATAACACAGGGACTCAGCATTTCTGGGCACAGTGCAGGCCAGAACCCATGTTGTTCCCTGAAGGAAGTTCTTTCATTTATCTTATATGAGCATAAAAACTTACTTTTTTCTCCACTTGTGCTGTGAGTTTTCTCCATGTGGCCAAACTGAAATGGCACATAGTCCCTCAACCTCCTGTGGGTCTTGGTCTCCAGATGGCCCTTTCAGTCCAGAGTAAGGCTTAGCGAGGTGGGCTGAATGACCTCAGCTGTATGCTCATGAGATAGTCCCCTCTTCTTCATTGGGTCTGGGAACATTACTGGACTCAGCTTGTTATAGGCAACAGAAGATCTTGGAACTGTCAAGGACCTAAGGAGAAACAGGGGGTTCAGAAGCTGCCCCCTCATATAGAAACATAGAAACAAAGCAAGTTAGAAGGGTTCTCCCGGGCTATCTAGTCTGACCCCCGGCTCCAGTCAGCTCTGCTCACGACATGCCTACCATGTGCATGTCCAGCCTATCTTTGAACACCCTCAGCAATGGGGCCTCAAACACCTCTCATGGAAGCCCATTCCATACCCTCGGGGTCCTAACTGTCAGGAAGTGCTTCCTGGCATCCAAACTGAACCTTGGTTCCTTGAGCTTGGCTCTGTTGGAGCATGTCCTGCCTTCCTTTGCAGGGGAGAACAGGTCTCTCCCCACCTCCGTGTGGCACCCCCTCACATACCTGTATGTCGCCAACAGATCTCCTTGGAGTCTCCTCTTCTCCAGGCTACTTCATCTTCACCTATTTGTGCCATCTTGTTGTCAGACTTGCATCTTGGACTGGACTCTCCCCTATAAGCAGAGTCATATTTACATAAATAAATAAACTGGAGGAAACTAGATATAATGTATAACCAAGCAAAAATTTTCAAATAATCAATAATTCTCCTGCCTTTCCTGTTTTGCCTTTCAGGTTTTGAAACTGAAGTTTTGAATTCAAGGTTCAGATTAGCATTCTGAATGCAAGCTTTGATTCAAAATTCACCTGCTAGCAACCTGTTGACAACAGGTCTGGAGAACATCAAAGGTGAGCTAATGTAAGGTGCTGAGTACAAAGTGCTACATATAACAGCCCTGTCATCCATCAACCATGTGGCTGAGCCTTGCATGAAAAGAATCCCTGCAGTCAGTCCCAAAACCAGGCTGGCTTTGGTTTGATAGCTGCACCCCCTTGCTTTTGAAAAGGCCACCAACTGGGAAACCAGATTAGGAGCTTGTGAGGAAAATTGGTACGATTTTCCTTCCAGATATATTGTCTTTGACTCTCTCTCTGGCTCTCTCTCTCTCTGTCTCCCCCCCCCCCCCCCCCCCCAGAGCAAACCCTGGAGCATTGACCTTCTCAGTGCTTTGGATGGTGGGAAGAGTGTGGACACAGCCTACCCCTCTGTCCTCCTCATGCCATGCCTAGGATACCCATAATGCTCTGGGTTCAGAGGATTCCAGGCAGTCTCATTGCCTCATGCTGTTCACCCTCTTTCCATCTTGAGCAAAGTGAGACGTCTTCCTCCTCATTCCTTCTTACATCACTTAAACTGGCTTAGCTGCTTGCATCCCTGTTTACCTGCATGCAAAACCCATTCTGATATTAAACAATGTTCTGATATAAAACCATATCAGAATAGGTTGCTGTGGGAGAGAGTTTGGCTGTTCTTCAGCAGTGGAATTTGATCAAAGTAAATTTCTGGAGAAAATCTGAAATTCCAAATTAACAGAGGAATATTTTGAGGATAGCTCTGGAAAGTGAATTTGTCTTACCTGTAAAGTGCAAGAAGAATGCTGACAGTGGAAAAGAGGAGTTTGGACATCAGGTATAAGAAGACTACAAGTATAAATGGTGTGTGTGTATTAATGCGCTGGTCTTTGGTGCATATTTAACATGGAGAATCTGCTTCCCAAGCATCTCCAGCTAGGGTAGTGGAATGAGTTTCTCTAAACTGGTAATCTTAGTAAGGAGGGCAAGTACAAGTGAGCAGGTCTTTGGGAGCGGAGAAAGGCAAGAGTAAATGGGAAAGGATGGGAAAAGAACAAGCAGGAGGCAAGGGATTTGACCCCTGGGAGTTACAACATAACCCTTGGGATACTTGCAAACATCTTTCCCTTGCATGGAATTTCCCTGGAAATAACACTGCGTAATTATGTTGTCCAAGTGCCAAGTGGAAAACCAAGTCCTGGCTTGGGTTTTATAATGTGAAAGAAGGAAAAAAGGAAGAGTCTTCAAAGCACTGCATATATTTTTGTGAGAGAACTAGCCCAGCCCAGAATGTCATTGCTTCTCGATGCTTGGAAAGGTATGCAGCACCTCTCAGGTCCCTTTCCATGTGCAAAGCAATAGCAATTCAGCCCAACCCAAGTACATGAGAGAAACATTTACCTAGACCTAGGAGAACAGGTAGGTTTAGTGGAACTTTCATGAATGGAGGGGAGCAGTCAAGTCTCGATTATGAAGCAGGAGCGTGAAGCCCATCACCAATCCATGAACCAGTCAATTTACTGCAGCATAAGGTGACCATATGCTAAACTTCCTGAAAATTGTGCAGAAGGGGCATTTCTCCTGGATGGATTTATCCTTCTGAGAACTCACCTATGGAATGCGCTCCCCAGAGAGGTCCTCCTGGTGCCGTCGTTATTTGTTTTTTGGTGCCAGGCTAAGACCTTTTTATTTAAACAATATTTACATTTTTTTTAACAATCATCTATAGGTTTTTATTTTGCAGCCAGAGTGAATCTGGATACTATGTGCATTATTTGTGTTTTGTTTATTTATTGTATGTAAGCCATCCCGAGGCTCATGCGAATGAGACAGCATACAAAAATTCTAAATAAATAAATAAATTCTAAATTCTAAATAAAATAAGCTGGAGCCTTTCCAAGTATCAAGATGTACAGGTTGTGAAAAGCTTTTAAAATTAAGAAATTTACATAAAACATTTTGTTCTATACCAGGCATCCCTGACCTGGTTTACTCCAAATATTTGGGACAGTAATTTCTAGCTTTCTTTGTATCAGCTACATAGGCTGGAACTGATGGGAGATGAAAGACACAACATCTGGACAGCACCAGCATGGGAAACATGGGTTTATACAGCTACATGCATCTCTGAGATTGGAACTTTCTCCCAGGGACTGTAAGTCTGCCCTCTGAATAAATAAATATGAGATAAATAATGGCAGACATTACCAGGGAAATTAGAATTCTTCCACTCTGGCTTTTTGAGGGTAAACTTTATTTAGACAGAAACTGCAGATCTTTTGTGTTAAAACAGAAAAAGGTCTTAACAAAATGCCATCATCAGATCCTTTGAGAGACAAATTAAAGACTAGTTTAAGCAAATGGATGAAGTTCTTACAGTTGGAAAGGGGACAAGCTACTCACATGGGGTTCTATCAGCTATCATAGAGCTTGTCCCAAGGATGTTGAGATGCTGCTCATCTTGGGGACCTGCTTCCTGGCCCCCTTAAAGCACCCCCGAGCCCCTCCCTAATGCGGAGGCCAGAAAGCTTTCTCTATCTGGTGACTTTGTTTCTGGCTTGTGCCATTCCCACAACTGCAGCAAAGCCTCCAATGAAGCAGATCCTTTCCAGAACAAGCAAAGGTGCCCTCACTGCAAAGGCAGCCTGCTGTGGTGCCGCACCTGTGCATGCATGCATGCATGTGCTTGCATGTGCACAGGCACAGAAGGAATGGAGACACATGCCAAAAGGCACACCAAAATGCATTCCTGCCCGTTTGCAGTGCTCAAACAGAGCATGATTGCTTCCTGCAGGAAGGAAATGATGCATTCAAAGGAGAGCTAAATGAACTACTGAACCAGCACTGTCCGTTCATAGAAGGCAGGAACTTATTCCTTATAAGGGTCAAGAGCTTAAGATTTCCATACTCGGCACTGCATCCAAGTTGACTCAAAAGCTGCAGGAAACCAACTCCCCCACTGTCCTAGAAGCAGTGCCTCTGTCTGGCTGCTGTGAGACCTGACCTTTGCCCAGGGCAATGGCCAGCTGAGTGCTGCAAGCAGGATACAGGGATGAATCATCTGGCCAAGGAGAGGTGCAGAGCAGCATGTCTCTCTCTGCTGTGTGAGGAGCAAACTATGTACTTGGGACTGGCTGATTGATGTCAGAGAGGAGGATTGGCTTGCAGGGATGGCGCTCATTCTCTGATATTTCCTTACCTGCCCTCCAAGATGCTAGGAAAGTGGCCATGCAAACACACTGCTCATCAGCTTAGCTGGTACAACATGGTTTATTGTATCAGCCTCACAATATAGTAACCATGTATGGTTATTGCACCATGGTTTAATTAAACCATGGTTATTTTACCATGGTTTAATTAATTAAAGGCTTTTCTAACCTGTCCACCACTAGTGTCCTGGGACCGCTTACAGTGAAAATGAATAAAATAAACAAAGCACCACAGCATTCAACTAAGATAATAAAACCCCAGTTAAAATCATCTAAGCATTCAAATGATGGGGAAATAAAAAGGGGTTTGACTGATGCTGAAAAGAATATAGTGTTGGTGCCAGGCAAACCAGGCTCTCTGGGGAGCATATTCCATAGTTGGGGTACCACTGCAGAGAAGGCCCTCCTCTGGGTAGCCACCCTCTTGATCTCCTTCCAGGAGGACTCCCAGAGCAGGACCTCTGACTCAGATCTCAAGGGCTGGGGGGGGGGGGCGGCATATAGGGAAGAAGGCGCACCTTCAAGTATCCCAGACCCAAGCTGTTTGGGGCTTTATAGATCAACCTTAAATTGGGCCCAGACTTCAATTGGTAGCCAGTGTAACCAATAGAGGACCAGCATTATATGTGAGTACCTGCCGGTCCCCGTCACCATCCTAGCAGTTCTATTCTGAACCAACTGAAGTATCCAGACGGTCTTTGAGGGCAGCCCCACGCAGAGCATGTTGCAGTAATCCAATGGGGAAGTGGCTAGAGCATGGGTCACCATTGCCAGCCAATGCTCATCCAGGTAAAGGTGCATGACTGTCACATGATCCACCCGACTTGCACTTACCAGTACTCAAATGCCCTCCTTTTGCACCAGTTGAAATTTTCATATGTTAAGAATTTCTGGACCATCTTCCAAGGCAGCCTCACAATACCAGTCATTATGGTGGTCCAGTTGCACATCACTAAGGCCTGGTGAAGTGAGGCAGGGTTTGTCCTCTATAAACCAGTTCTCAGTTGGCATCTTGGTCTAAGCTGGTACAAAGCACTCCTGTCCACTTGAGTTTCCCCCATCTGCCAAGTCCAAGAAAACTCCCCAGTCCAGTAGTCCCAACCCCAACCCCAACCCTTCCCCTTGGAAGCAGCATCTGCAACCTTCTCCAGGGGTATGGCCCATGGCTATTTCTGCACGACAAAGACCAAGGCGGCATGTGTGAGAAGGGACTTCTGTTGCCACAGGTTTCTACCAAAGGCTTCTGTTTTGTAACAGCTTTTGTATGTGTGTTTTAGTTACTCTCAGTATATACTTGTGGCACTTGTGTAAAGTCTGCCTGCTGAGGACCTGTGAAGGTAGATATAAAACTGTGACTGGGGAAAGCCTTTAACATACACCCCAGGCCTCAGTGGGAGTGATGTGCCACTGGGGTGCTGTTTTAGGGGAATGCTCTAGCTGGGTGGTTCCCCAGTTTATGTGGATCATGGGGAGCGCAGATCTGCTGAAACATTGCACAGACAGACTGGGTATTGAGTGTTATGTTTAATATATACCATTTTGGGTTAATTATCTAATTTTATCACTTGTTTTAATCATTGTTGCTGTCTTTTAAGTTATGGTCTGAGATTAGAGGGGGGAAGCATTCAGATACTGCAGGGCAAAGGGTGACATGGCACTGGGAGGGCAAAATATTACCACAGGAGTAGGAGAGATTGTTGTCCTCTAACTAGGTCTCCTTCTTGCCACCCAGCCAACCAGGGTTATTTGGAGAGTAGTCTGAGCCACCCACAATTCCTTTCAGGTAGACCCATAATAAAACCACAATCATCTATGATCTGATTAAGGATGAAGGGGATGATCTGGCTTGTCTCATGGAGGCCTTACTGGGAGAAGATGGTGGTCTTATATGTATGCAGGCCTTCCCAGGTGGCTATTGTATTGTGCAGGAGGTCAGGGAAAGTGGGTGAGGGGGTGGTGTGGCTGCTATCTGTAAGAGGACCCTCTTTGACCAGGAACCCTGTCAAGGAACTGAAATAAACTGAGTGCGTGTATTTGTGATTGTCATCCAGGGACAGACAGCAGATTCTGCTGGTGTATAGTCCACCTCATTGACTAGCAGAATCCCTGGCCGAACTCATGGAGGATCTTGGAATTGGTGTTTGATTCCCCCAGGCTGTTAATCCTGGGGGACTTCGCTGTTGTGTTCAAGTCTAGTTTGTTGGGTACTGCTCATGAGCTGATTGACCACCATGGCAGCCATGGTCCTGTCCCAGTTGGACTCTGGACCCACACATTTTGCTGGACACTCACTTGATGATATATTCAGTTCTGAAGAGCTGGTTTTGAAGACTGAGACTTGGCATGGCCTAATCATTACCTCTCCTTCATGGATCACTGCCTTGTCTTGGTGAAGGGGCTTGCGTAGCTCAATGAAGCTATGAGCTATGCCATGTAGGGCCACCCAAGATGGACAGGTCATAGCAGAGAGCTCTGACAAAACGTGATCCACTGGAGAAGGAAATGGCAACCCACTCCAGTATCTTTGCCATGAAAACCCCATGGACAGTACCAAAAGGCAAAAAGATATGACGCCGGAAGATGAGTCCCTCAGGTCAAAAAGTGTCCAATATGCTACTGAGGAAGATCAGAGGGCTAGTACTAGTAGCGCCAGAAAGAATGAAGCGACTGGTCAAAGCCAAACGGACACTCAGTTGCAGATGTATCTGGTGGTGAAAGGAAAGTCCGATGCTGTAAAGATCTATACTCCATAGGAACCTGGAATGTAAGATCCATGAATCAAAGCAAGCTGGATGTGGTCAAACAGGAGATGACAAGACTGAACATTGAATCTTAGGAATCAGTGAACTAAAATGGACAGGAATGGGTGAATTTAATTTGGAGGACCATCAGGTATACTACTGTGGGCAAGAATCCCTCAGAAGAAATGGAGTAGCCTTCATAGTCAATAAAAGAGTAGGAAAAGCAGTACTGGGATACAACCTCCAAAATGACAGAATGATCTCAGTTTGAATCCAAGGCAAACCATTCAACATCACAATAGTCCAAGTCTATGCCCCAACCACTGGTGCTGAAGAGGTTGAAGTTGACCAGTTCTATGAAAGCCTACAACACCTTCTAGAATTAACACCAAAAAATGATGTCCTTATCATCATGGGGGATTGGAATGCTAAAGTAGGAAACCAGAAGATAACTGGAATAACAGGCAAGTTTGGCCTTGGAATACAAAATGAAGCAGGGCACAGGCTGATAGGCAGAGCGCCTGAAGAACTGTGGATGGAGGTTCGCAACATTGTACAAGAGGTAGCAACTAAAGCCATCCCAAAGAAAAAGAAATGCAAGAAAGCAAAATGGCTGTCTGAGGAAGCTATACAAATAGCTGCGGAAAGAAGGGAAGTGAAAGGTAAGGGAGAAAGAGAAAGATAAGCGCAAGTGAATGCAGAATTCCAGAGAATAGCTAGAAGAGATAAGACTGCCTTCTTAAATGAACAGTGCAAAGAAATAGAAGAAAACAATAGAATAGGGAGGACCAGAGATCCCTTCAAGAAAATTGGAGATATGAAGGGAACATTTCATGCAAACATGGGCATGATAAAGGACCAAAATGGCAGGGACCTAACAGAGGCAGAAGAGATTAAGAAGAGATGGCAAGAATACACAGAAGAACTATACAAGAAAGAGCTTAACGTCCCTGATAACCACAATGGAGTGGTCACTGACCTTGAGCCAGACATCCTGGAATGTGAAGTCAAATGGGCTTTAGGATGTCTGAACAACAACAAAGCTAGTGGAGGCAAAAATATTTCAGCTGAGCTATTCAAAATCTTAAAAGACGATGCAGTAAAAGTGCTACACTCAATATGCCAGCAAATTTGGAAAACTCAAGAGTGGCCACAGGATTGGAAAAGGTCAGTTTACATTCCCATCTCAAAGAAGGCCAATGCCAAAGAATGTTCAAACTACCACACCATTGCACTCATTTCACATGCTAGCAAAGTGATGCACAAAATCCTACAAGCTAGGCTCCAGCAGTATGTGGACCGAGAACTACCAGAGGTACAGGCAGGATTTTGAAGAGGGAGAGGAACTAGAGTTCAAGTTGCCAACATACGCTGGATCACGGAGAGAGCTTGGGAGTTCCAGAAAAATATCTACTTCTGCTTCATTGACTATGCTAAAGCCTTTAATTGTGTGGATCCCAACAAATTGTGGCAAGTTCTTAAAGAGATAGGAGTACCAGACCATCTTATTTGTCTCTTGAGAAACCTATTTCTCAAGCAACAGTGAGAACTGGAGACGGAACCACTGATTGGTTCAACATTGAGAAAGGAGTTTGGCAAGGCTGTATACTGTCACTCTGCCTATTTAACTTATATGCAGAGCACATCATGAGAAAGGCAGGGCTGGATGAATCACCAGTTGGAATTAAGATTGTTGGGAGAAATATCAACAACCTCAGATATGCAGATGATACCACTCTAATGGCAGAAAATGAAGAGGAATTAAAGACCCTCTTGATGCGGGTGAAGGAGGAGAGTGCAAAGGTTGGCTTGAAGCTCAACATTAAGAAAACTAAGATCATGGCATCTGGTCCTCTCACTTCCTGGTAAATAGATGGAGAAGAAATGGAAGTAGTGACAGATTTTATTTTCCTGGGCTCCAAGATCACTACAGATGGGGACTGCAGCCAAGAAATTAAAAGACGCTTGCTCCTGGGGAGGAACACTATGGCAAATCTAGACAGCATACTAAAAAGCAGAGACATCACCCTGCCAACAAAAGTGTGTATAGTCAAGGCTGTGGTTTTCCCAGTTGCAAAGTAGGGCTGTGAAAGCTGGACCATAAGGAAGGCTGAGCGCCAAAGGATTGAGGCCTTTGAATTGTGGTGCTGGAGGAGACTCCTGTGAGTCCCTTGGACAGCAAGGGCGATCAAGCTGGTCAGTCCTAGAGGAGATCAACCCTGACTGCTCTTTTGACGGCCAGATACTGAAGATGAATACCTTGGCCACCTAATGAGAAGGAAGGACTCCCTGGAGAAGAGCCTAATGCTGGGAACCATAGATGGCAAAAGAAGAAGGGGATGGCAGAGAATGAGGCGGCTGAATGGAGTCACTGAAGCAGTTGGTGTGAGCTTGAGTGAACTCTGGGGGATGGCGGAGGACAGGAAGGCCTGCAGGAATGTTGTCCATGGGGTCGCAATGGGACGGACATAACTTCGCGACTAACAACAACAACAACAACAACAACAACAACAACAACAACAACAAATCATTACCTGGCCAAGGCTAAGTTCACAGCTCCTTTGTTGTGCCCCTGTAGAGAGGATGGACCTATTAGAATGGTCCACCTCCAAAGATTTTTTGGATCCAGTAGGTTTCTAGTCACCCTTAGGGGGTTCTTTGGCCACTTCTGTCTGTGATCTGCCAAGTCCTTGCTTACAAAGTGGAATAAAGAACTGACTGGGGCCTTAGACACAATTGCTCCTCAACTTTCTCTCTGTCCTGCTTCCACAAGAGCTCCCTGGTTTATGGAGGAACTCAGATGTATGAAGCAGGAAGGACAATGACTAGAGCACCCACGTCTCATCTAGAATAAGTTTTGGGTTGTTCACCCTCATCCATTCTGAAGTTGCTTCAGCTGCACATTTTAATATTTTAATTGCTTTTTAAAGAAAGTATAATAATGAAACATTTTTATCTTTCCCATATTGTTGCATTGTAACAAAATGATCCACAGCGGATGCCTTTTCTTTTTCCTTTTGGCTGGTGTTTTGATATTGCATCATTCCATTTTATGGATGTGAACTTGATTTACTGCCATGGGTGGACTGAGGCAGAAAGCCAGCTTACAAAGATCCAATGAAATGAGCGTTCTCAGGAATGCTGGAATTCCTCAGAAGAGGAATTCAAGAGGATCTTCTGAGGATCTCTAGCTTTCCCTCAAATGCAGCAGGTAAGCTTTATAGTCCGGAATCTGCTTCATCCCTTAAAGCATTTTGGAATGCTTTGACCTTCCTCCTTTTCCAACGCTTCCATTGGCCTCCAATCACATAGTAAATTAGAGGGTTTACTGTACTGTTGAAAGAGATAAGTAAGAAACCAATCAACATAAACATAGGAGGAGGACTATAACAGAAGTAGTCCATGAAGTAGAAGATGCTGACTGGAATGGCAAAGCAGAGGAACAATATGATTGTGAGTGGAAGGGTAACCCACAGTATTCTTTGCTGATCTTGTGTGTTGAAAGAAATCCTGGTGAACCGGATCAATGTCGAGATGACCATAAGAAAACCGAGGAAAAAAATGTTCCCAGTAGAGATGATTCGGATCATTATGGCAGAACTTCCAGGGATGCCATCATAGAAAAATATCATGGTTATTCCATAGAACAACATGGACATGAACCAGATCATGAATGAGGCCAGAATGGAAATGAATCTTGGCCGGTCGCATCGGTACCAGATTGGAAAACAGACAGACAGACACCTCTCCACATTGATGGCTGTCAGGAGGCACAAGTCTGCAGTGTATGCGAAGAGGAAGAGGAAAACCATAGACATTTTTAGTTGTGTGGTTACTGTTATTCTCTGAGAGTACTCAGTGACACCGAGGCTAGCAAAACCAAGTGAAAAACTGAGGATACCAAAGTCTGCAACAGCCAAATTCAGGAAGTAGGTGGTCAGGGGATTGTTGGTCTTAATGTGGAAGCCAAGGAACCAGATGGCAATCACTGTCTCCACCAGTCCATATGTGCAAATAAAGATGGTGATGCTCTGTACAACTGGTTCATGGAAGCTTAAGAAGCTGTGTATGTCACTGCAGAAGGGAAGATCACTGACTTCTCCGCTGTTCTCCTCGCCTGGATCCATAATGGAACTGTTGCTTTTCCACATCATGCTCTTAATGAAATGGTTGTTTCCTCATTGCACAATTCTGTTTGCAGAAAAGAGAGGGTGCAGAAGTAGATCAGTGACATCTATCTCACTGGTACCTTGCCCTTCCTCCATAAATTTTAGAAGTTACACAGAGTTTCATATTTTAGGATAGAAAACACTGGGTTATGAATTTTATGCTAACCACAGGCCTTCCTAGATCGAGCCTGGGGTCTAGGTAGCTAAGAACAGCTTTATCCCATGCAAACTTGTCTGTTCACACATACACCTGTTAGCATGCTAAGGTCAGTTTTAGGTGGGTGGGGGGTGGGATTGACCTCTGAGGTTAGGAAAATGGTCTTCTCTGAAGTGGAAACCCACCATTGAGAGAGAAGGAGAAAAAAAGAGAGGCAAGCCTCGATCTGAGGATAAAATGATGTGGAATATGAATGAAATAGAAAATTGCCCAATGCATCTTTGTGGCCTCAGGGCCATAAGACGTTCAAATGTTTTTGTGAAGTGAGATCTCTGTGCAATCCCATGACTGCTGGATAGTGTGTGGACACCCATCGGACTTTTGGGATTCTCATCTTTCTTTGAAAAATGACCCTGACCTTGTAGCTGTGCTTGGATGCTCCTCCCCACTCAAAGCCAGCTGCTTCTCTGAGGTCGGAAGAGCAACCTTGGAGAAAGGTTTTGGGGAGATTCCATGGCAAGAGGAAAAGTGCCAGCAAAATGCGACTTATTCTGGAAGCCCTTCAGCATCCTTCCCTCTCAGTCCTCCAAGCACCACTGTTAGAGGGACTAAATCAGAATGAAAGGCAGATTTCCATAATGCACAGAGGGAATGTGCCCTGAGAACATTTGAGCAATTCAATAATTCATTCAGGTCCTTACCTCTGTTGTCTTCTTCATATGTACTTTATTTGATGCTTATTATTATTTTTTTACCTCTTCCCCATCCTTGCATCACTTTCCCCTGGAGAGTGTGTTTATCCATTGCACATGCCACTGGAACAAGGATAAATCCTTTGCATTTTCTCAGACCTTTTGAATTGGTGCTCAAAATTGGGTTTATTCCACAACGGTGTCATTATGGTCATACCATTCTGCTGCTTTAATGGCATGATCCATGCATTTATTGTTCTTCATTATTTATGCATAGCTTGTCAGACACTGGGGGACCAGCTATGCTGAAGTGGACCCATTCCCTAAATAAAATAAGTGTAAAGTGGGGCTGCCCTTGAAGACAGCCCGGATACTTCAGATGGTGCAAAATAGAGCTGCCAGGATGCTGTCGGGGACTGGGTGTTATTCTCATATAACCCCAGTCCTCTATCAGCTCCATTGGCTTCCCATCAAAGTCCGGGCTCAATTCAAGGTGCTGGTTATTACCTATAAAGCCCTAAACAGCTTGGGACAAGGATACCTAAAGGAACATCTTTTTCCCTATTTGCCCTCCCAGCTCCCGAGATCGGCAACAGAAGCCCTCCTCCGGGAACCCGCTGTGAAAGACGTTAGAAGACAGAGTACCTGGAGGAGGGCCTTCTCTGAGGTGGCACCCCAACTATGGAATGCACTCTCTAGAGAGGTCTGCCTGGCGCCATCACTATGTTTTGTCCAATTCTGAGGAGGGAGCTGAGATGGGCAGATGATCTTGCAGTTTCAAGGTTCCTTGTGAAGATCATCAGCATGAAAGAGCATGAAACCCAGCCCACCATGGAAAAATAGGGAAGAAGGAAGACGTTTCAGCTTTCTGTTTATGAAAATTGCCAGGTTTTGAAGATTGCATGCCGGCTAGTGAATCGACACTAGCACATGATTGACAAAGCAGACTTCTTACACGTTCCTGCCTGTGTCAGTTTTTATGACTGGTGACAGGAGAAATGGTGGCAAGCAGAAGGTGGCCTCACTAAGGGACACACCAAATGAAAGCACCTTGTTCTAGTACGATTTGCACAGAACTGGGTAATTTGTGCCTTTAGTAACCAGAACTTGCATGGTTCGACTGTGACTTTTACTAATTCCCACATTTTTGTTCCCAGCTTTCCCTAATTCATGCATTTTTGCAAGCAGCTGTCCCAAATAAAAATACAATTTAACCAGTATGTCATTAATATTGTGTCCACATCTTCCTCCCAGTTTGTGTGTCATCTTTGTAATATATGCAATTTTTGCATGCGTGTTCTATTGGAGAATTCCAATGTAAGATTTGAAGAAATGCACATTTCAAGGGATAACTGAATTTCCATTCATGCATAGGATCTAAAGTGTGAATGTATGAAGGCAAGGAACACCCCTCACTTGCTAAAGGAACCCTCAGGTGGGCTATGGAATGGCCCATACAGAGTCCTTTGTGCACCAGTGCTCAGTAGGAGAAGCTGCTGCTACTTCCTGTCCTCTTCCTTGGCAGCAATGCTTGCTCACCCCATTAGCCCAGTGGGAAGAATCTTGTGGTGCATGAGAAATTTCGTTCTACTTGCAAAATATGTAAGCATGCTCCATGCACAGTTCCAATGCAAATGTAAGCAGGCAACACATCTGTCGGAAATGTTTACAAATATTCAAACATGTGCTTGCTCTGTATTTGTGCAAATTTCCCCATCTGATTTTGCAGATAGTTAAAAATCACCTGTGCAGTAGTCTATGGAAGATATTCACTCAACTTTGGCAATTTATACACATTGTGGGGGGTTGTTGCTGTGACGTTTTCATATACAAAGCTCTTTACTTTGAGCATTTGTTTTGTGGTTTTCTGTTTTTGGTGTTTGGAACTTCTTAGCAAAATTGCTTATTGCTTGCTCGTCCATCCCTAGAAAGGATGTTGATAATGGTGAGGAACAGGGTTCAGAGTTAGACCTACTCTTTCTTCCAGTAAACATGGATTAAATTAATTTCTCACATATTTAAATTATATACTTTAATGGAAAGTATGGTTGGTATTGTTTTCTCTTGTTGTGAGCTATTCTGAATGTTGCATGGCCAAGCTAAACAGTTCCAAAATAATGTTTAGCCCATTGTGTCTGGGGAAGAATGACCCTGCATTACCCAAACTATTCAGAAATGAATCACAGCAGCTTGAACTTAACGGAATGCTGCTGGAGCTGAAACAGCAAAGCAAAGCTCATGACTGTATCATCTTGCAATATTTATATTGTTCCTTTTTGAATGTAAATTTATGCACAATTCTGTGTGTATTTTTCCAAATGCATGCACCTTTCATGGAATGTGTTCATTCTAATATGTGTGTGTGTGTGTGTGTGTGTGTGTGTCTGTCTGTCATTGGTCAAACCATGTTTGTACACTTGAGTTGAACATATTTGCTTTTGTGGCATGAATCTTCTTTCAGTTCTGGAAGGTGATAATTTGAAAAATTCTGGTCAAAACTGAACTGAAACCAGAACCTCATACATTGCTAATCTAATTCACTCAGCTTTTCACTTGACCGAATGGCTGTGCCTTAACACTTCTATTTCTTTCTCTTAACATGGATAAAACTAGAAGCTTAAAATTTCCTTGCATGGAGATTGATTTTTTGTGTGTGGTTCCACCAGGAGCATTTTTAGATGAACTCTCTCTCTCTCATTCTCTCTCTCTCTCACACACACACATATAAACACTTCAAGAACCCAGAATGCCATCTGTAAGCTGTTTACTTAAGTAATCTTGAAACTTGAACAGAGTAAGAAGTAAAGTGTTTCTCACTGCATAGTACATGACATGAACAGGTAATATAAAAAAGCAGTATTAAAAAAGCAGATTCAGTTTAACAGGTTACCCTTCGAAACAAATACTTAACTCCTTCCATGTCCCTCCCAATAGATCTGTGGTAGTGGAAGTAAATCATATGATGACTAACCACACTGGGAATTCTGTTCCTCTTAGTTCTACACCGAGGTGTGGTTGGGTTGTGCTTTGGGGTCAAAGTCTGGATCCTGCCACCCTGGAAACTCCCAACAGACCACCCAGATAGTGGCAGGTGAAAGAGGCATCAGGAGCAAACAAACTCCATTTTAATCCAGTAAATGAGAGTGCAATGATTTGGAGTTTAAAATGCAAAACTGCACATTGCAGAGGGTTCTTTTTAAGATTTAACTATTTCAAGATTGGGAAATAGTTATCACTGTTTTAGTTATAACCTTTCAAGAATACAGAAACGGTTGTAAAACATGGAATAGCAGGTAAGGAGGAGAAGAAAAAAGTTAGCTATGAAATTCACTGCCAAGTTCATATACCCAGTCCTCTAAAGCTTGCCTTTGGGGTCTAATATCACTCAGCTGTACTACTGGGACAAACAGTTCTAGCTCAATGGGGAAAAGCTACAAAGCAAGAATGGGCAACTTGTAACCCTGGGGGTGAGGATATCTCTCCCCTTTGCTCTTTCCAGCTGATCTAAGAGAAGGCTTATGGAATATGGTCCTTTGTGAGTTAGATGGGGTTTGGGGATACAGGATGCTTCCAAAGAAGATCACTCTCAAGTGATAGCAATCAAAGCAACATTCCACCTGGTTTGTGTGAGCAGCCCTTGTCCATGAGAAGAGTTGATTTCAAACTGAAGCTGTCCCTCCTCCAACCTTTCTGTCCCAAAAAAGCTTGACTCCACCCTCAGGGAGGTTTATGCTGCTTATAGGTCAGGTGGTGGGAAGACTGAATGCCACGTAATTGGGCTGCTCATTTGACTTGGTGCTGACTCACTGGGTTAATGAATTCACATCCCTCCTCCTTGGACCCTCTCTGTTCTGCAGTGTCTCCTCCCCCCGCCAAACCCGGGATGGTTTGGTTCTTGGCATCTGTCTGACCAATCTTGCTCATTAACCTAGTCATTTCCATTCTGCATTTTTTAAAGTAAATTTTATTATTATTTTCTACAAACTAAAAAGAAAAGAAACTAAAAAACATAAACCATCAGAGACATCAGACCTACTGGGTCAGCCCCCTATATTTTTTTTTTGTAGCAATCCGTAGACATATTCAAATCTATGCATAGTCCCATTTCTCTAGCCAACAATAAAAACGTTCTGCATTTCAACACTTCTACTTCTCCATCTAGTTCACATTCTGAGTTTGAGCTTTCTAACTGGGAATGTTTTGAGAGAAATGGGCCCACGTTTTACAAGGGCTGCATACTACCCTCAGCTTAACTTCAAAAGGCTGCTGCAGATGAACTGCTCACACTTCTGACAAGAGCAATATGCTTGTCCTCCGGCTACCCATGCGGCATGGAGAAAGAGAGGAGTAGCACCATGGCTGAAAGGGAAAGCAAGGGAAGAGGTTCTCCTATTGGCCCCACTGGTTGTCTTCCCCAGAATGAGGAAAAAGGGTTGTTCATACAGAAAAATGTCCTTCTTCCTGGATTAGGTCCTGGGCTTACCAATGAACGTTTTCAATAAACTCCTTGGACTAGTCCTTCTAACAGCCATTTGCTGTGTTGATGTTAGCAGAGCAGAAGATACTTTATTTACTTATGAAGCGGATGTCCAGACATTTTCCTACGAGAAGTCAAGGAGGCTTATATCATCTTCCTGCCCCTCTCCAAATTTTTCTCCCGCCAACTTTATGAAGCAGGTTAGGCTAGGAGTTAGCTACTGGCCTAATGCCACCTAGTCTTCGTGGCTGATGGGAACTCAGATCTAGAAACCACATCTCCCTGCTCCCTATGTCATTTGGAGATCCACATGTCCCTCGTCTCTGTTATGGCATGTGAGACTGCAGGAACTAAGTTGGATTAGAGCAAGGGACCATCTAGCCCAGCATTCTGTTCACACAAATAAGTCGTTAATCCAGGAACACACAAATAAGGCATTAATTCAATAGCAGCCTCTTGTCTACATTTCCCAATAATTGGCTTACATATGCAGACTATCCTTGATCCTGGAGGTAGCATAGATCCAAGAATTTGTCCAACTCCCTTTCAAAGCCATCCTTTACTACATCTTTAGTATGGCAACAAATTCCATATTCGAACTATATTTATGGCAGCAAACTCCATATTCTAACCATGTGCAGTGTGAAGAAGTTCTTCATTTTATCTCTCCTGAATCTTCTAGTAATCAGCTTTATGGGATGATCCTCTCAGATTCTTGTTTTATGAGAGAGGGAGAAAAATGTCCCCCTATCCACTTTCTATAAACCAGATACAATTCTGTTTATCTCTACCCTTTCTCCAGTTAAGCTCCCTTTTTTAAACTAAACTGACCCAGATGTCACAACCCTCCGAAATCCACAGAAAGGTAAACAATGAAGTTGGAAGAAATACGAACCTCTCAGTGTTTTCCTGGTTTTCTGTAGCAAACAAAGGCTTTGTCATTCTGCCACCATATATAGCCTATGTTCTCCATGGCTTTTCTCCACTGCTGCGATTTCATCCAATATACTCTGCAATATTCCGCTGCTGACTTTTGAGTCAGGCAGTCTGCTTGCAGCCCCCGAAATACAAAAGGGAAAACGGGAGTGAATATTTTCTGTAGCCGAGCAATTCTTCACAGAAAGGAAAGGACTGGATGAGTGTTCGTTACCATTTGGAGTTCACAAGCTTCCTCCACTTCCCCCTCCCCTTTCATCACAGTCTCTCCTCCTTAATTAGCTGCATGGGAATGGATTTATTTTTTCTGAAGCCTCCACTTCTCTCAGAAGACGAGAAGGAGAAGCTGCACATAAATAAAACCAGGCATTCGTGTCAGTCTGCAGAGCTCTGGATGTAGCGCTGAAAAGCAGCATTTCTCATCTGAGCTGCTTCAGATTGTCACATCTAACTGGGACAAATGTCAGACAGGTCTGCAATAAAATACAGGTCAAAGAAAAACCAAGGAGCGAAGCTAGAGTGGCGAATCAGATCATGTGGCTTGCATTTTGCTGGTTTCACGGCTGTGAGGGAATGGCTACATTTACTTATTTTGGCAGTGCATGCGAGTGTCATGGTGAGAAGAAAAAAAGGGGAATGGCCTACATACGGAGCTCGCACCCCCCCCCCCATTTCTAATCTTCCAACAAGCCAACTCAGGAGGAACAAAAGAAGATTCTTCATTCCTGTGATTACATTTGAGTGTACACTGTCTTTGGGAGAGCCGCACAGCGTGGCTTGAAGGCCAGCGTGAAGAGTGAAAGTGAGAGCCAGGGAGGGAGGGAGGGAGGGAGGGGAAGAGCAGCCCTGAAGCGGTTTCCAAGAGGAAAGAGAAGCTAGAACCACATCCCTCTTAAAGCCCCATGGGCACGCTCCTATGCATGCTAGGAGATCCTTCCTGTCGAAGCATGCGTAAGATTGTATCCTAAGCACAGAATTGCATCTGAGACGGGAGCTGTGAAACCAGGGAACTGCAGATGAGCTGGGAAACTCCTTTCTGTGCGTATCTTCCATTCTTAGTGGAAGATCTTCCTTTCCAATCCCAGCCACTATTTAAAATGTCTACATTCCTGATATGATGGATCAACTAAGACAAGATAGTTCATCAACCCAGGTTTATTTATTTAAAGTTTTTATATGCCGTCCCCTTGCTACATAGGTTATGATGATGGCGCTAAAAATGCTGTGAACACGTACAGTTTTTTGCATTAGATTCACTTCAATGATCTTGTTACATTTCTATACTTCCCTATAGCCGAAAAACCATTAAAAATACATGAGACGACTAGGGATGTCAGAGATGCAAACCATTTTGAATTTCAAAGGCTGCAGTATGACTGAGAGGACACACTCCACAAGGAAACAGATTTTCCTGAGTCATGCAATTCCATGGAAATGCAAACTGTTCCTGAAAAAAGGGAACACCATAATTTTACACAAATGTGCATTTCCCCCCTAGGCTAAAGCATGAGAGTACAGATTTGGGGGGAGGGGTTAATGCATATTGGGGGTTGCACAGTTACAGGAATTACAAATTTTCTTACTGATGGATTTCTATAAAATCATATAAAATTCAGAATGAAAACTGTCTGGGTATCTGTAAAACACAGATGAAATTGATTTTACAACTTCTGTGCTTCCCTAATGCAAGCATGTAAATAGAAAATACAGACTCAAATGGATCTAAATACATCGAAACATAGAAACAGAGCGAGTCAGAAGGGTCCTCCCGGGCCATCTAGTCTGACCCCCGGCTCCAGCCAGCTCCGTTCATGACATGCCCACCATGTGCACATCCAGCCTATCTTTGAACATCCTCAGTGATGGGGCCTCAACCACCTCCTGTTGAAGCCCATTCCATACCCTCAGGGTCTTAACGGTCAGGAAGTACTTCCTGGCATCCAAATTGAACCTGAGTTCCCTGAGCTTGGCTCCGTTGGAGCATGTCCTGCCTTTCTCTGCAGGGGAAAACAGGTCTCTACCCACCTCTGTGTGACACCTCCTCACGTACATTTTAAGCCACCAATAGAGAAGGTCTGGGAGCTTGAACATCTTTTTATCCTATGCCTGAGACAGCATAAGAAAAACCATATCTGATCAGACCCAAGGTCCATCCAGTCCAGCACTCCATGCACACAGTAGACAGTGATACCCATAGAATCGTTCAAGCAGGATGGTTGCAAGACCTCCTGCCCGAGCTCCTTGGCAACTGGTATATGCAGGCATGCCACCTCTGGTAATGGCGGTAGCACATGGCCTGCAAGGCTAGTAGTCACTGATAGCCTCTTCCTCCATGAATCTGACCAGTCCCCTATTAAAGGGGATGACACCTAGCACTGTCTTGACTAGCAGAACAAAATTGGCTTGGCACTCTCTTGGTGAAGACTGCAGGGCCATGGACTTTGGCCCCAAGCTTCAGCCCCTGCTGCATCTCTGCTAGGTGGACCACTGAGGAGCTGGGGGGAGCAGTAGAAAGCATCTTCATGTGGGTCCATGGGGAGTCGGATCTCACGAGCATGACAGCAACAACAGGTGCAAAACGGACCCAGCACCACTTTGCTCTACTTACATAGCACATTTAACAGTAGTTCTATCCAGACAAGCAGAGCCAAGATGATGTACAGAGTTGGCTCCAGAACTGCATGAAGGGGCAGTCTGTGAACTGGAGCATCTTGTTAGTGGAACAGTAGACTCTGCTGCATCCAGCTCATTTCTGTTGATACAGGAGTCCTTCCATTGCAGAACAGCAGGCTTGGATTCAGTCCAGTGTATTGTAAATATAGACTCACAAGTACGGAATACATGTACTGAAATGCTACATACACAGTTATGCTATGTTTCAGCAGTGAAAAAGTACATGTCATGCACACGGACTGTTACATATTTACAATGCCCCTTTCCAGATGCATTTTAACCATGATGTTATTCCTCAGCAGGAAAACAATATATATTGAACCAAATAATAGCCTCATTGCTTATAATTAGACGTATTATGTGAAAAATATAGATGAATCTAAAATTATCTTGGATATTGTGATTTGTTGCTGTTATGAGCTGTCAAGTAATCTCAGACTTATGGTGACCCTGTGAATGAGTGACTTCCAGAATGTCCTATCCAGGAAGGACTTGCTCAGCTGCTGGAAATTCAAGGCTGTGTCTAGCTTTATGGAATTGATCCATCTAATATTTGGTCTTCCTTGTCTTCTGCCTCCAACTTCTCCTAGCATGATTATCTTCTCCAGGGAGTTTTGCCTTCTCATGAAGTTTCTGAATAACGGCAGCCTCAGTTTCATACACAGAGGTGGGTAGAGACCTGTTCTCCCCTGCAGAGGAGGGCAGGACAGGATCCAGCAGAGCGAAGCTCAGGGAACCAAGGTTCAATTTGGATGCCAGGAAGTACTTCCTGACAGTTAGGACCCCGAGGGTGTGGAATGGGCTTCCACAGGAAATGGTTGAAGCCCCATCAGTGAGGGTGTCCAGGGATAGGCTGGACATGCACATGGTAGGCTTGTCATGAGCAGAGCCAGCTGGACCTGGGGGTCAGACTAGATGGCCCAGGAGACCCCTTCTGACTCGTTCTGTTTCTATGTTTCTATTTTTGCTTCCAGGAAAAGCTCTGACTTGATTTGATCTAGGGGCCACTGGTTCATTGATCTGCCAGTCCAGGGTATTCACAAAGCTCTCCTCCAACACATTAAGCACATCAATTTTCTTCCTGACAGCCTTCTTCACTGTCCAGCTTTCACACCCATACATGGTGATCAGGAATGCAATGGGGTGGATGCTCTTGGCCTTGGTTCCCAATGGGGACCTGATGATCCGGCTGCACCTGATGATCTTTTCTAGCTCCTTCACTGCTGCCCTTCCAAGTCTTCGCCTTCAAATTCAATGGCTACAGCCTTCCTTTAAACTGATGGCGGAGCTGGGGCATGCAAGACCGTTCAGTTTTGATTTCCTCATTGTTAAGAGTAAATCAGATGTAATTACCCATCTATTCATCCATCCATCCTCACAACATAGAAACAACATCAGTAAGATGTTCAAATGCACCTATTTTCCATTTTTATTGTTAAGATCTTTTGCCCAAAGGAGCAGATACTGCAGCTTCTGAACTTAGTTTGAAGAATTCTACCTAACTAGAGCCCAAATATGTAGCTAATAATAGGCTGCATGGTTGTTTGCTGATAACAAATAGCCTTCTCTTGGCATCCTGCCTTTGAGTTCTAATTTGACAACTGTCTGTACTGCTTTCCCAGATACTGCCTCGGGGTGGGGGTGGGGTAGAGGGATCTACAAAGGGTGTAACTAACTTCACTTGCATATAAATTTGAAGTTTTGGGCTCCTTATATATGCACATATATGCACCTTCTTTCTTCTAACACTCTTGCCTCTCAAAGCTTCAAAAGGTAAGTGCTGCTACAAATTAAAGGCCTTCCTGCACTCATAAGCTTCTAAAAGCCCTATGCTTACTTATTTTGGAGTGAATCCCACTGAACTCAATTGGTCTTACTTCCATTATGCAAAATTGAATCCTGAATGCAATTGATTTCTTAAGTTGGATCCACTTAGAACTTCTACAAGTGTTCTTTAGCATGTTCCCTGATTTAGAAATATTTTAATTATGTGCTTTTAGAATTATTGGCTCAAGGAAAAGTATATGAGAAATTGAAAGAGCTGAAAAGTACTAGCACTGCCACTCAGCAATAAACAATCCAGACACAGGTATTTGACTACCTTTCCCCCCAGTGTACAAGTCACGAGCAAATAAATCTATTGTGTTGACTTCTTTCCACTCATTGCCCTTTTGCTCACATGCACTGCTGTTGTATTCCGGAAAGTTTTGTCAAATCCTGAGAGTCTGAGTAGATGTATTTGGGAAAACAAGACAGAATCTGGACCCCCGGAGAAAACTGAGGTTCAAACCTCATGCAACATTATTTCTGTTTGGAAATAAATAAACTCATGAAAGGGCTGCTTTATTATTTATTTATTTATTTAAAACATTTCTATGCCACCCCACTCACCGAAGCCTCGGGGCGGCTCACAACATAAATTAAAATATAATACATTCAAAATATAAAACAAATTAACAATATAAAATAAGTCACCCTGGCCAGATAAAATAAGCAAATAATATTAACAATTAAAATGACATTTAAATAAAAAGGTCTTCGCCTGGCGCCGAAAAACAAATAACGACGGTGCCAGGCAGACCTCTCTGGGGAATGCATTCCATAGATTGGGCGCCACCGCAGAGAAGGCCCTCCTCCGAGTACCTACCCTCCTGATTTCTTTCACGGAGGGTTCCTGGACCCACCCACAGATCTCAAGGGGCGGGTGGGTGTATATGGATGTAAGCAGTCCTTCAGGTAACCAGGACCCAAGCCATTTAGGGCTTTATAGGTCATCATCAAAGCCTTGAATTGGGCCCGGATGTCAATGGGAAGCCAGTGAAGCTGACAGAGGACTGGAGTCATGTGAATATAACTCCCAGTCCCCGTCAGCAGCCTGGCAGCTCTATTTTGAACCAATGCCGGCTATGTGCATAGGTGTTAGAGAGAGGTTTGCAAGAAAAGGGTATTTCCTATAAGCTTTGGGCTATTTCCCACACGCTTAATCTGGAGTACAGAGGCCTCCCTCAGGGACAGGGAAGCTCCAACTTTTGCATGTGGGGTAACTGTAATGCACCCACATTTGAAACAACTCTCTTTAAAAGGAGAGTCTGGATGAAATATTCAGTTTGACGGAGCCTTGTATTTCTGCAGTGAATCTGAAATGAAGAAAGTTCTTGCAAGGGCTTATGAACGTCACTGCATCTGGAGGAACATTTCAGTTCTGAGCAGCCCCAACTTGGTCTCCTAAGGAAAACCATCACCACTTTCCCTCAGTCATTATTTGCCTCTGACATTGCTATTTATTGCCAACAGCAGCTTCAGGTGATCGGCAATGCCTGTTTTCCTTCTAAAGAAAAGTTGGCAATTTATAGTGTTCTTTTTTTAAAAGCAAGAACTATACCAGACATACAATGGACACCAGAAGTGTTTGTGCTCTGTCCTTTGACAATGCTTTTCTCTATGAAGGAGGGGAGAGATTTATTTTGGCTTCATTCTCATCTGCCTGATCTGCAATCCATTCATGCAATCTGGCATGATAATAGATGCTGGGAGCCCCAGAGATCAGACAGTAATTTCTTGCTACCAGCGCTGTTCAATTAAATGACTGTAGTGCTCGAACATCAAAGGCTACTGGTGAAAATGGCTACAAGAACGATGCAGGCTGAGAGACAGTGTCATTTTCTGGGAAGCAATGGTGGAGGGTGGCTATTGCTTTTCTAATCCATCCACTACAAGCATCTCAGGATGCCTTACTATCTTGCCCATGATCCCCAGCAATTGGTAGCTATGGGCATTCTGCAGAGCTAGATTTTCCCTGCCTATGTCTTCTGCATTTCCCCTCTCTAATTTGGAACTGATTTCAAATACCAGGACCGCTGAATATGCCAACACACACACACACATACACAGACACACACATAGAACCACCTGGAAATTTAAGCACAGCAGTCATTCACACATCTGCATATCTTTGATGAGAAGGGACAAGTTTTTTATATCAATGCTTCATGCCCCTGCACGTGGATGATGGTCTGCAAAGACTACAGAAAGTGGAACACCAATGAGTATCCAGGTTCAGTGGTGATAGCTTCTCAGCTGGGCTTGAGCGAATGAAAGTAGATATGAGCATATCTATATAATTCTGATGCAGCATGGATGGGAAAGTTTTAGAAGCTGAGGAACAGTTTTGACTTCTTGACTGCACCCTGTGGACCATCCCACCCTCCTCCAGGTGGTGCCAGAAATACAGAGTAAGTAGTAAACAGACATGCAAATAAATCAAAGTGACACCTGGAGTAGCTACTTTACTTCGTAAAGTATATAATTCAGCCTGTTTACAATACAAGGGTTTGAAATGCTTCTGAATGGCTGTACCAGATGCTATTATTTTCCTCTATTTTTTTACATGGTTGTAAAAAATTGGGTTGTGGGGAGGTTCTGTTGTGGGGAGGAACAAAGGGTACTGGGAGTTTATTAGCTGGCTGTTGCTGATCCCTGATGTATGGGTCAAGCTCTTAGTTTTTAATGGATATCTAACTGATGTTTGCAATTTTCAATTTGAAATCTTTCTACCTAAGCCTAATCTCTGATCTGATCAGAGAAGCAATTACTGGTTTTTGCTGCTATTCAAATAAGATGTTTAAGTAAATATATTTCATATTTTTACTGTTCCATGCTTGTGTCCTTATAATTAGATATGTTGATTTCTGAATTGATTGCCAAGAAAGATGCTTAATGTTTTCAAGTGTTGTTGAAGAAGAATATGGAGTCAAATTGTGTGCCTCACCCATTTATGTTCATTTGCCTTGGACTGGATGTAGCTTTGCTTAAAATTAGTAGTTTTCTTCTAGTTTCCTCACTATATATAGTTGTACTTGTGGAGTTTAAAGATTCTTTTGATGTTACTTTTCTGCACCGTTTATTAAATTTTTATGTATCCTACTGGGTTCCGCTTTGAGAATACTCTGAACTAACCAATGGACAAACAAGTGTGTCCCAGATCAAATCAAACCAGAGCTTTCCCTAGGAGAAACAATGGCATTTGGGCACCCCATGAGAAGGCAAAGCTCCCTGGAGAAGATCATCAAGCTTAGAAAACTTGAAGGTGGAAGAAGACAAGGAAAACCAACTATGAGATGCATTGGTTTCATCAGGGAAACTGCAGACTTGAATTGACAAGAGTTGAGCAGGGCTGTCATGGATTGGTTGTTGATTGCACCAAGTCAGAGACAACTTGATGGCACAAGAATAAAAACTGGGTTCTACCCTACCACCTAAAAATAAATAAATAAATAAATAAATAAATAAATAAATAAATAAATAAATGTGCTCTCTCTCTCTCTCTCTCTCTCTCTCTCTCTCTCTCTGTGTGTGTGTGTGTGTGAGTGATTGAGAGAGAGAAAGAGAGAGAGAGAGAGAGAGAGAGCGTGCGAATGTATATTCCTATTTTTGGTAATGTTTATAGTTTGTATTATGACTTTTTTTTCTATTGGGCTGCCTATTGTATTGGTTGCAATGACAGATTATTTTCCTCCCTGAAAAAAAAAAAAACCCAAATCATTTGAGAACACCCAGTCTGGATTGGAACCAGAGCAGCAGTGAAGGAACCCAACATGGGTTGGGTCCCTTAAGCTTACCTTTGAGCTGGAAGCAAAAGAATGGACTTAACTGCATGGTGCTTCTTGAAGGGGCCAGTTAGTTGGATCCAGCAGAATCTTCCATCTATTTCTGCAATGTTCTTCCGTAAGAGGTGCTGAAAAATTGACTTTACCTTCTATCTGAGAAAAATTGCACCATACAAATTGGTCATCTAAAACATTCTCAGGAATCCTTGGGGCAGGGGCATTACATTTCCTATAGTCCCTATGCCCTGCTACTCTTAACTAGCTTTCTCTGTGGTGGCGCCCAACTTATGGAATGCGCTCCCCAGAGAGGTCCACCTGGCGCCGTTGTTATTTGCTTTTCAGCGCCAGGCCAAGACCTTTTTATTTAAATGCTATTTTAATTGTTAACTTTATTTATTGATTTTAATTATTTCTCTCCAGAATGTCTCCAATATTTTATGTAATTGTATCAATTATATTTATTTATGTTTGGAAGCCGCCCCAAGGCTTATGCGAATGGGGCGGCATAGAAGTTTTCTAAACAAACAAACAAACTAGCATAACAGGACATGGGAAGGGGTGCCTCACAGCAAATCAACAATCTAAGGTAAATAAAAGGAAGGTAGGGAGGGTCTTTATACTCAAAGCTATGGTTTTCCCAGTTGCAATGTATGGCTGTGAGAGCTGGATCATAAGGAAGGCTGAGCACCGAAGAATTGAGGCCTTTGAGTTGTGGTGCTGGAGGAGACTCCTGAGAGTCCCTTGGACCGCAAGGCGATCAAACCAGTCAGTCCTAGAGGAGATCAACCCTGACTGCTCCTTCGAAGGCCAGACACTGAAGATGAAACTCAAATACTTCAGCTACCTAATCAGGAACAACTCAATGGAGAAGACTTTGATGCTGGGAATGATTGATGGCAAAAGGAGAAGGGGACAGCAGAGGATGAGGTGGCTAGATAGAGTCATTGGGACTGTGGGTGTTAGCTTGGGTGGACTGTGAGGGATGGTGGACAGGAGGGCCTGGAGGAATGTTGTCCATGAGGTTGTGAAGGGTTGGGCACAACTTTGTGACTAAACAAAAACAGGGGGGGGGGAGGGTCTTGGGATCATGGTAGGTGGCTTAATGAAAATGTCTATCCAGTGCCCAGCTGCTGTGAAAAAGACAAATTATAAGTTAGGCATAATTAGGAATGGAATAGAAAATAGAACCACCAAGATCATATTCCCCATATACAAATTTGGTGCAACCACACCTGGAATAAGGCATTCCAGGTGTTTTCATTCTGGTAAGTAGTTACAAAGTATGGCATTTAAAAAAAATTCCAGAAAAGTTGTGCATTTCTTTAACATTCCACAATTTATGCAAATCATGACTCGGACAATTCTTTGGTGGAGGGAGGGGGGATCTTGAAGCTGCAGAGTGGTGCCATACTTTGAAAAAAAATTACCAATGATCTTTCCCAAGTCTGCTCAATTACAAGTCTGTGCATCTGCTAGGTAGTGTCTTAGAAGGATATTCAGTCTATTCAGTCTTTCTTCAGGTTGCTTCATTTAGCTCCTCAGATTCATATCTTTTACTTCCAAAGAACATGTCAATTTCATTCTCTACTTCCCTGAGCCCAGATGGCTAAACAAGGCCAGATATAAAGAGGATGAAATTGAAAAGGATCTTCACAAGAGGTGGATATGCCGTTTGAGACTACATAGATATGCACTGTGATCACTTGTGTAGGGTGAGCAATAACGTTTTCATGACACCATTTGTGTAGACATCAAGGTTCCCCACCCAAATGTACAAAGAGATTTCCACCATTAAAAATAAAGCAGCAGAATCCTCCTACTAGAAGAAGACTAGTATGAAATTTTCAGGGCTGGAAAAATCCATTGGGATTTTAGCTCTAAATGAAATTCTCTAAGTGGATCATCATGGCTGTGGGAAAAACTGAAATGCAAGTCTTTATGAGGATTAAATTCCTAGTCATGCCATCTCTGCCCAGCTAAACCTACACTACATCTCAGGACAGGAGCAACTGGAAATCCAAAGATGGCAGCATGGGGCCAGTGAGAGTTCACATAGCCTTTTAAACACTTCCTCTTGGTGAGCTCCAGCATGGCTTAAATCTCAGTTTCATGTCTCTGTGCACCCTTTTTACTTCAGTTGCCTGCAATTCCACTCTTCTGAACTGTAGGGGCAAACCATTATTAGTGTGTGCATGAGTGTTGGTATCAAGGAGGGGGAAATCCTTCTCAAAAAAGAAACATTCGGAGGTTTGCTTTCAGGTGAAACATCTCCCTGAATTTCAGGGAAAACCCTGCCCAGATGCTACTTTGCTGCCAAGTTTCTCTTTCCATTTTCCCCACCCCTGTACCAAATTTGCAATTTCTGCAACAGAAAGGCAGGAGAAAGCAAAGAAAAAAGCTAGGCTTTGTCAAATGTGAACACACTGAAATTTGTCAATATGCTCATTATCAGAACTGAAACCTGATAAGTGTCTCATGAGCTCAAGTGCACATGTCTGGTGTGATTGCTACAACCGCATCTAATCAATTCTTGACGTTTAGCTCCTGTGAGCATTTATCTTGTACTCAGGCAGATATTGGGATGTATATCAGAGGCTAGATAATACTATCTGAAAGCACTGACTGTGCCTTGGTATTGAGCCAGGGCAGTGTCAGTGTCTCCTCCCCCTCCTTATTAAATAGCAGAGATCAGAATAACCTCAGCATCCTTCCATTTATCCTCATTTAAAAGACTTGGGGGCTGATAGTTGAGGAAAGCATCTATCCAGACACCATGTGCAACCTCTGGGACCTTCCTCCATGTGTCAACCCCACGAGTGGCTTCAAAGATGGGAACTAGGAGGAGAATGTTTTCTCTGGTGGCCCCTACATCTTTGAAACAACCTCCCAACTGTGGCCTGCTTACTGCCAGATTTGCCATCTATTTGGGGCCAGGTCAAGACATCCCTCTATGCAAAGGCCTTTAAAGTTCTTCTTGGTTATCCTTTCTTAGCTTGCCGGGTCTTTTTTTGTCTCATTTTTAATTCATTTTAAAGCTTTGCATACACAGGCAGCCACACAAAAAATGTGTTTACTTCTTGTACTATATTTCACAAAAAATAGACACACTTACAGGCAGATATACAATGTAATAACAATGGCTTGATATATAGGTTTGCATATTCATAGTATACACCCAAACTTATCGTCTTAAGATGAATGATCAAATCTAGGAGAAAATTGCATATTAAAACTACCTACCTAGTCTACTCTACTGCAACTCTTCTTCTTGTTGTTGTTAGTCGCGACATCGTCACCAACCCATCATGACCCCCTGGACAACATTCCTCCAGGCCTGCCTGTCCTCCACCATCCCCTGGAGTCCACCTAAGCTCATGCCGACTGCCTCAGTGACTCCATCCAGCCACCTCATTCTCTGCCGTCCCCTTCTTCTTTTGCCGTCAATTGTTCCCAGCATTAGGCTCTTCTCCAGGGAGTCCTTCCTTTTCATTAGGTAGCCAAAGTCTTTGAGTTTCATCTTCAGGATCTGGCCTTCTAAAGAGCAGTCAGGGTTGATCTCCTCTAGGAATGACCGGTTTGATAGCCTTGCTGTCCAGGGGACTCGCAGGAGTCTCCTCCAGCACCACAATTCAAAGGCCTCAATTCCTTGGCGCTCAGCCATCCTTATGGTCCGACTTTCACAGCCATACGTTGCAACTGGGAAAACCATAGCCTTGACTATAAAGACACTTCATACCTCTGCAGCAACTGCAACTCTACACTTTAAGAATTCAAGAATATTTGAAACTATATTCTGATTTTGGGGTAAAGCAAGAGTGGATAACTGGGTAAGTTGTGCATGCAGATGCCACAAAGTCTAAATATTAGGAATGCTAAATCTTTATGGAAAAACAAGTTTCATTATTGGGTAACAGGAAGTCTTTCAGTGTATTTGAACAATATCAACTTCTTATAAAAATTATTTATTTATATGTTATGAAATTTTATTGTTTCATGCATTTCACTTTGGAAAACTGTGCATGCAGTTTCCCCAACAGCTTTCATTACATCAGTTGTTTAGAAAATTACTTTTGATTTTACAAACAAAATTATGAATTGAAAGAAAGGGGAAGTACTTTCCTGCTATACGCAGGAAGGACCTTCATAATTCTGTTTCTGTATGCACTCTCTTCTCTTCTGTACAGTCTTCCACATCCCTGAAAACTCTCTGCAATGCAAACTTCATGGACCCCTTGAGCTCACTTTTCTGCTGCCTGTTTCCAACTAAGAAGTAAATGAGAGAGTCGATGCTGCTGTTTAGGGAGGGACAGGCAAATCCAGTTATCATACAAATTTGATTTTCAACATAAAATGAGTGAAGGACATAAAAGACATTCATTGGAAAGGCCAAAAGGAGGAAGAAGAGGAGGAAGACCGGGTGGAAAACAAGTCAGTTACTGGCTGAAGAGGAAGATGGGGAGGGGACAGTATGTGGGTCTGTATGGGGAAGGCTGGACCCTCTGATCAGCTCATCCGGCCCAGATCCTTGTGCTTTTGGTCTCTAGACAGCATAGAGACTTTGAAGCATGTTCAATGAGAACAACAGCTAGGACCTTGCCAAAAGCCCTCCCAGTCCATTCACAAACACTTCATTTCTATTATCAGTGCAGCAAGAGACTCTCTCAGAGGGCTATACAGGGCAACCAGCAGGTGGAATGTGGAAGCAATCTTGATCCATGGAGCCTTCAAAAGATGTGAAAGTCAATTCCCACAAGTCACAGCTTTTACTTT